GCCTCAATTTCTACAGTGTTTTTTTTTCTTTTTGGGTCATACCCAGTGATGCACAGGGGTTACTCCTGGCTCTGCACTCAGGAATCTCTCCTGGCCGGTGCTCAGGGGACCATATGGCATGGTGAGGATAGAACCCAGGTTCACTGCATGCAAGGCAAGTGTCCTCCCCACTGTACTATCACTCTGGCCCCACTATAGTGTTTATTTCCTAATTAAAAGAATGCATTTAACTCTACCATAAATTTTCTACTTCTCCCCCTTGCATTTGTTTTGTTTTCTTGTTTTGGGACCATCCCCAGAAGGGGCTTACTCCTGGCTCTGTACTCAGGAACTACTCCTGGGGTTGCTGGAAGACAGAATGAGATGCCAGGAATTGAACCTGGGTCAGCCACTTGCCTTGACCTACTGTGCTCTCTCCAGTCCTCTCCCTGGCATTTAGAAAGCAGAACTAGAAACATCATTACATTTGAAGAGGTGACTGTTTGGACTCATTCTGTATCTAATTGCAACTTCAAGCTTTTTTTTTCTTGTCTTATATTGATTATGCTAGTAGAAAAAAAAACTTTTTAGCCTTTAAGCTGTAAGACAACACATGACATCAACAATGTATTTCTATTTTGCGTACACACACACACACACACACACACACACCTGAATATAGAATTTTTTTTTTTTTAGTTTAGGGATCATACCTGGCAGTGCTCAGTACTACACACTGGTTCAGTGCTTGGGGGTTGTTTGGGGGCTGTTCTAGTGGTGCTTGGGGCCATGTAGTAAAAGGTGGGACTCCAACATGCCAGGCATGTTAGCCCCTTGAGCTAACCTCAGCCCATGAAATAGTTCTTAAGGAAGGCAGATGTTTATGTGTGTCTACCATGTTCTCCAGTGTCTGTGTAGGACGTGGGATGGGGAGAAGTTGCTAGCCGAGACCCATTACAGTGATTTCATATCCCACGCCCAGAATTTCAAGAAACTAAGTGCAGTGCCCTGGTACTTTGTGGAAGGGCAGTCCATGTCCATCAGTGCTCAGGGATCAATCCTGGAAGGGCTCGGGGGACCACATGCGGTGCCAGGGACTGACCTGGGGTCAGCCGCGTGCCAGACAAGCAACTTAAGCCCTTATGATCTCTCTGCCCTCCTCTGCTGCTTTCTTCGTGTGTAGATTTTGTTTCAGATCAGTCTTGCTGGCTGTAGTAACAGCATTAACCTACCTGGTCAAAGCAGAGAACGGAGCCAGTTGTCCTTCTGCTTTCAACACAGAAGGCCCTTTCTTGTAAGATGGTATCCCGTTATCTGTCAAAGAACCAGAGTGTGCTATGAACTGACTGTGCAGAGTCTCTCCCAAGATGCCCAGCACGCCAGGAGGGTGGCCACACAGGGTCATTAAAAATCCCCGGAGAGGTGTGGGGGCGACTAAAACCTCATGGGAAGGGGGGCATTCCAGTCCGTCCTTCACGCCCTACTGAGGTCACCAGTTGCCCCCCGCGAGCGGCTCTCCAGCACGGCCACAACTCCAGAGCACAGAAACCAACTTCTTAACTATCTGACTTTCAGTAGAAATACTTCCAGGGTCAATAAGTAAAATAGCAGAAATCCAAAACCAACATATAATTCTTGAACCCAGCTGTAGAAAGCAAATCACTTCACAATGCTTTGTCAGCATGTCTGATTCGGGGGGGTGGGGGGGGTAAACTCTAAATAATAGTGGTGAATCTTTTATTGAAACAATGAATCTAATCAAAGCAGATAGAGTGTTAACTAGAATTCATCTGCCCCACAGGGACTGGGAGGGGTGGGGGTGGGGTTTTATTGGGGTTCTTCATGGTAAAAAATAAGTTTTGGTAAAGGGAAATGTGCTTGATATTTGCATGACTGAGACCTAAACCTGAAAGCTTTGTAACCTTTCCCATGGTGATTCAATAAATAAATAAATTAATTTAAAAAAAATCCCCGGAGAATGGTTCTATGGGAAGAGGATGTTGTGGTAATCCCACTAGTTAGGCAGCCCTCGCTCCGCTGGGTGAGGGAGTGCAGCATTTGCTCTGACTGGAAATAAGCTCCTACCAATTACTCCTCTGTCGTCAGATTTGTCGCTGTCAGGAGGGACACCCTAGTCTCCTACCAGAAAAATAGGGTAACGCAAGTCACTTCAGCGATTCCTTGGGAGAATAAGATGAAGCGACATCATGAAGATGCTCAGTTCACAAATCTTAGCTATTGCTCGCTGCTAAAAATCACTCACTGTTCTTCAGGGGCCAGAGGGCCAGGCGGTTTGGGTATTGATTGAACAGGTGTATTTTGATTCGCAGCGGAAACCACCAGCACCTAAGGGTAATAGCAAGCATCTCTATTAGATGCCCAAGTCCCTGCAGTGAGTTACTCTGTCACAGATCACCCCAGAGACGCAATCAGGAGAACGGACATCATGGGTGAGTTCCTGGCAACTGTTGCCCCCAGCTGACTGCTCCTTGCTGGTGTGACCCCGAGCACTGTGGTGGGCCTGAGGAAGAAGCTGACTGCAGGAAACCAGGCTAGCCCAACTCCTTGGCCCTCCCAGCCATGAAGCCCACAGACCCATCAGTGTGGCAGTCACTGTCCAGCCCCCGGAGAGCCACCCCTGGAATGGAGCTGACGTTGGACAACAGAGAGCTTGATCTTGGGCGTTACTGCCTCACGCCACACCCCGCTGGCCTTTGGGTGCCTAACACTGAGCTAACTCCCAGCTGCCTGACCACACTTGGAGGCTGGTTTCTTTCACCTGCTGTCAAAGGCAGACCTCTTCTGAGAGGAGACACACCTGTCCTCTCAACTGTCCGTTAACCTGGATCAGAGAAGTCATACGGTGCTTGTCAGGAAACAGGATTCTCAGCACTTGCTGGGCCATGCGGGGAAGGATGATCAGGCTTCCACTGGTCCTCCTGTCCCGAGCCCACAGCAGCCTCTGTCCCTGTTTGGGGCTTCGGTGTTTGGCAACGACATTCCTATCATCCAACAAGGATGGAAGCGCCTGGCCTCGCCCTGTTCCCCTCTGGGCCATGGTGCTGGCCTTCGGGGTGCTTGCCCAGAACAGGACCTGGCCGCGCACGGGGCAGACACGCATCCGTCCACCTGCCTGACAAGAGCCGTCCAGTGCATTTCTGATGCAACTGAACACTGGGCCCCAGGAAAGTGGTCAGCATCCCCTAGCCTCACCGTGGCCACTCCTGAAGAGCTTCTAGAACAATCTGCAGGATGGGGAAGATACCCCGAGGCATAGGAAGGGTTGCGTGGGGTCAGCTAACCCCCAGCTGGCCTGAGGTGGCTTCGATTCTGAGGAGCAGACCAAGGGTAAGAGATCACCCCACACCCAGGCAGCGGGAAGCGCCCGGCCCTCTCCTCACCACCACACAGGCAGAAAGCACTGGGTGCGTTTCCTTCATTTTCCACCTCAGGGATCTCCACTCTCATCCACTCCCATGGTGTACAGTGGCCCAATCCCTTTCATAAAGGTTCGGCCTGCCCTTCACTCCCTGAACCCTGAGGAGACAGGGCAGTCTCTTGTGACACACGAGGACATCCATGAGGTGACAAGCCCCGTATTCCAATTCCTGTGGCACAGAGGGCACCTCGCTGCCTCCTCTCTTGCTGAGGGTGCTCAGCGAGGCTTCTTTTGTGCCAGGAAAGGCAAGCAGATGCCTTGGCCCCAGGAGAGAAGCACCCTCAGGCGGCGTTACCCCCAGGAGCACTGCCCAACTGGCCAGGGCGCTCCCAGTTACACAACCAGGAAGGGGCCGCTAGGCCTGCGCGACTTCTTCACAAAACTCAACGTGTTTTCTCTGGCCCTGCATTTTTATTCAGGTGACCACTGACCGGGAGAGAAATTGCCTGTCCCCGCCAACACCAGAAACACAAGATTTCATGGGAAAGGCCCGCTGAGCCTTCCAAGACGACCGCGCCTGGCAGAGAAGGGCCTCTCGCCCGTGCTGGACTCTGCCTGGTAGACACGCATTCAAATAAGCCGGACAACAGAAAGGCCCCCTCTGGAATTAAGCCCAAAAAATGAACACGAAGTCTGGTCACTCAGTGTGACTCATTTTGTGCTTCTCTTCCCTTTTGGGGACAGAACCCGGCCTGACAGAACTTGACACACACGCTCTACCGAGAGCCGTGTAACCCCCAACCCCCAAGGAAAACTCTGGAAAAGAACTGCAGAGGCAAAGAAGAAAGCCCCAGACCAGCTCCCCTGAAAATATTTAATGCAAAGAATTCCTTGAGGTGGTGCTTTTACAAAAGGTTTCTCAGCAGATGCCTTCTGGGGTGAGGGGCCGGGGAGGCGGGAGGAGGGGCAGGCTGTCGGAACAACTGGACTGGTGACTGGGGGCCACACCCAGCAGTGCTAGGGCTTATTCCTGGCTCTGTTGCTCAGGGATCACTCCTGGCGGGACACAGGGTGGTGCCGGGGATCGAACCTGCATGTAAGGCAAGTGCCTCGCCCCCTGCGCTCTCTCCCCGGCCCCTGGACATAGGTACTTTGAGGAGAGAGACAAGGAGCGCGCCCGCCCGCGGTTTTCTATCACACCCGTCTGGCTGAGTGAACTGCGGCTCTGAGGATAATCTCCAGCCCGGCACCCAGAGTGTCTCAAGTCACGGCCAGACCACAAGTTTGCCTTGCGAGAGCCTCCCTGCCCGTGGCTGCCAAGGCCTTCTGGTCATCAGCAGGAGGACAGTGGGCGCAGACAGTCCACAGGGCGCCGTGGCCATCGGGCTCGTGGGCTATACACAGGAAGGCACAATAGATCAAAGCCGACCTGTCTCTTCGGGGGGTGCAGAGTCCTGGCTGAGTTCCCAGTGCTCATGCAGTGACCCAGCGTCCCTCTGTTCAGTCACTGGACACTCATTGTCACAGACACCCTTGGAGACAATGTGCCCCCCCGCCCCCCGCCCCACCCCTCAAGGACGCCCCGAGTGACCCGCGCGCGGGGCCCTGTGGCAAGGGCTGCCAGTGGACAAGTCCGTGGGATTCTAACTGCCACCGGAGCTCAGGGAACTCTGAATAAAGTGCTTCTGACGAGAGAGATTCACTGGTGGTTTCTCTGTCACCTGAGCACCACGATCAACAGCTGGGAAGGCGAGAATGTTCGCTGCGAGGAGGGCGGGCAAGCTCGTCTCCGGAGCAGCCCACCTTTCTGGAAAGTTCCCTCTGGCGCTGGTCTCCACTCCAGCTCGCTGCTGGGTTAAGGCCACAGCTGATGCCCGCGGGTGGCAGGTGGCATGGAGGACGCGAGAGAGAAGAGGAACCGTCCATAAATATCCCGTAGGGTCCACTTGGGAAGGGGGACAGGAGAGGTGACAGCAAAACAAGGCCCGGCTCCGCACGGAAGCCAGATGTGGGCCAGACCAGTGGAGACACGGCTTGGTTTCCAGAAGGGTCCATGTCGCAACTAAGAGTTTCTCCTCAGTCCACACACCCAGTAACTGCTATAACACGCTTGCGTTTTCCATGGCCTCGATCCACCTGCAAGACAGTGGGGGGTGTCAGGGCTCAACCTGTGATCCGACCGGGGACGTGGCAGGACTCAGTACTCTCCAGCCTGAGGTCGGGCCCGTGTCCTGTTGGTTCTCGTTCCTTTGACCTTCAGCCAACGCTCTGGACCACAGTGCACAGGGTTGCTTAGTCCCGGCCGGCCAACACAACAGAATCCCCTTTGGGGATCCCAGCACAGGCACTGTGGCCCCAGGGGGCTTGGGGCGGGGGACAAGAAGCCCCCGAGTCACAGCCACTTCTGATTTGAGAAGCTGGGGGTGGTGGTAGGGGGCCCGGGGTCCTGTACCTCTGAGCTGAATTGGTGTCCTCTGCCTTGAAGCTATAAAACAGGGTTTTCTTGTGGTAAAGGTGAAAGACGGGTCCTACTTCGCTGCTGCCCTCTTCCTTTTCGGGGGCGATGGTGAAGCCCAACAGGGGCATGCTCTCCATGGCCACAGTGTCCTGCAGAGGGCACGCAGAGAAAGTGGTGTAAGCGTGACTGCACGGGCACCAGCGGAGGAGGCATTTACTGAGCGCCCCGGTTTTCCGACACACACACACACACACACACACACACACCATGGGGGGCTCTGGCCGGCAAGGGCACCTCGGGGAGCAAGGGAGACCTATACCCGGGCTGAGGAGACTGCTCAAAGGGCTGGAGCCCCGGGCTTTGTCCCTGGCACTACAGGGTCTCCCAAGCACTGCTGGCTGTGGCCCCAAAAACTAGAAAAAAGAGGAGTGCTATCGCTCAGCAGGTAGGGCGTTTGCCTTGCAAGCAGCCGACACGGCCAACCCGAGTTCGATTCCTTCACCCCTCTCGGAGAGCCTGGCAAGCTACCGAGAGTATCTCGCCCGCACCGCAGAGCCTGGCAAGCTCCCCGTGACACATTCAATATGCCAAACACAGTAACAACAAAGTCTCCAATTGAGACGTTACTGGGCCCACTCGAGCAAATCGATGAACAATGGGAGGACAGTGACAGTGACAGTCTTTTTGGGTCACACCCAGTGATGCTGAACGGTGACTCCTGGTTCTGCAGTCAGGAGTCACTCCTGGCGGTGCTGGGGGACCATATGGGATGTCGGGACCAAAGCCATATGCCAGGCAAGCGTCTATTTGTTGTACTATCTGCCCACTACCCCCGCCCCACCCATGGAACCTCGGGTTTGATCCCTGGCACTGCACGATCCCCCAGAAGTAACACCAGGGGTAGTTCAAACACTGCCAGCTTGACTGAGAAACCACTATACTGGTTGTGTTAGCTATTGCATCGCACTGCACTGTAGCACTGTCCTGTTGTTCATCGATTTGCTCAAGCGGGCACCAGTAGCGTCCCCATTGTGAGACTTGTTACTGTTTTTGGTATATCGAATATGCCACAAGGAGCTTGCCAGGCTCTGCTGTGCGGGCAGGATACTCTCGGTGCTTGCCGGGCTCTCCGAGAGGGATGGAAGACTTGAACCCAGGTCAGCTGCAAGCAAGGCAAATGCCCTACCTGCTGTGCTATTGCTCCAGCTATTGCATTAAGGTAAGAAAAAAGAATGAAAGAAATAAAAAGCAGAAAGGAAGAAGTAAACCTATCTGTGTCTGTAGAGAACACATCTGATTACAAAATATTTACCGGAACTAATAATAAATTTAGCAAGCTCACAGGATAATCAATTTTTCTTTTTGTGGGGCCACACCTAGAGGTACTCAGGACTTACTCCTGGCTCTGTGTTCAGGATCGCTCAGGATCACTCCTGATGGTGCTTGGGGGGGCCACATGGGATGCCAGGGATCGAATCCAGGTCAACCACTTGCAAGTCAAGCAAGCACCCTACTGTTGTACCATCACTCCAACCTGACAATTTTTAATATTATCTATATACTGGGCTGGAGTGATAGCACAGCGGGTGGGGCATTTCCCTTGCTCACGGCCGACCCAGGTTCGTTTCCTCCATCCCTCTGGGAGAGCCCGGTAAGCTACCGAGAGTACCCCGCACACACAGCAAAGCCTGGCAAGCTCCCTGTGGCATATTCGATATGCCAAAAACAGTAACAACAAGTCTCACAATGGAGACGTTACTGGTGCCCGCTCGAGCAAATGGATGAACAACGGGAGGACAGTGCTACAGTGCTATCTATGTGCTATTGGCAAACACCCAGAAAAAATAAACTCCATCCAAAATCACTGTCACTGTCACTGTCCTCCCATTGTTCATTGATTTGCTCAAGAGGGCCCAGTCCTGTCCTGTCCTGTCTTACCGCTGTTCATCGATTTGCTCGAGCGGGCCCAGTAATGTCTCCATTGTGAGACTTCTTGTTACTGTGTTTGGCATATTGACTACATCACGGGTAGCTCGCCAGGCTTTGCCGTGCGACGAGATACTCTCGGTAGCTTGCCAGGCTCTCTGAGAGGGGCGAAGGAATTGAACCTGGCTCGACCGGGCCGGCCGCACGCAAGGCAAACGCCCTACCACTATGCCATTGCTCCAGCCCAGGGGGCCCAGTAACATCTCCAATGTGAGACTTTGTTGTTACTGTGTTTGGCATATCGAATATGTCACAGGTGGCTTGCCAGGCTTTGCCATGCAGGTGAGATACTCTCAGTAGCTTGCCGGGCTCTCCGAGAGGGGCGGAGGAATTGAACCCGGGTCCATCGGGTCGGCTGCGCGCAAGGCAAACGGCCTACCACTGCGCTATTGCTCCAGCCCTCCATCCGAAATAGCATCCAAAAAATAAAAAGGAATGCAGTTAACTGAAATGAAGACTTCTATACTTTAAAACAGTAAAAGAAATTAATGAATGAAGATTTATACCATGTTTCATGGATTGGAAGATTCAATATTAAGTCAATTCTCTGGCGTTAACTTCAAGATGCAAGAACCCCTCTAAGCAGGCTTCCTCTTTTTAACTGTCAAGTTTATGAGGAAGCCCAAAATGGAGAATTTTCAAAACAGTCTATAAAAGAGTAAAGTTGGAGGGTTGAAAGAAATTGCCTTGAAGGTCGTGTAAAGAGGGGCTGGAGCGATGGCGCAGTGGGCAGGGCGCTTGCCTGGCACATGGCCAACTCGGGTTTGCTCCCTGGCAATGCGGTCCCCAAGCCTTGCTAGGAGTGATCCCTGAGCACAGAATCAGGAGTGGTTCCTGAGCACAAAATCAGGACTGTTTCCTGAGCACAGAATCAGGAGTGTTTCCCGAGCACAGATCGGGAGTGGTTCCTGAGCACAGAATCAGGAGTGTTTCCTGAGCACAGAATCAGGAGTGTTTCCTGAGCACAAAATCAGGAGTGTTTCCTGAGCACAAAATCAGGAGTGGTTCCTGAGCACAGAATCAGGAGTGGTTCCTGAGCACCACTGGGTATGGCCCAAACCCCCGCTCCCCCAACAAGTGTAAAGTTACAGTGATCAAGGCAGGTGCTCTTGGTATAAGGCCCAGCACACATGTCAGTAAGACAACACCTGCTTTGTGACGGTTTTACTGGTAGTCGGAAGGAGCGTCACACACACTGACTTGGTCAAAACAATTCTGAGGGGAGGAGAAAATCTTTTCAGCCAGTGCTGCTGAAACAACTGGATTTCCACAGGAGAAAGAAAGTGATCTCTGAAAACACACAAAAACCAATCTGACCTACTCACAAAGCTCAAAAAATAAAAACCTTTCAGGAGAAAATGCGAAACATTTTGCAATTTGCAGTAGATAGAAGTTTCTAAGGACATGGAAAGCAATGGAAAACACGAAGAACCCAGATTTGCTTAAAAATTATAAACATCTGATCGCTGAGAGATTCACTCATTTGCTTTAGGAAATTGAACAGGCAAACTGCAGAATGGAAGAAAATAGTCACCAAACATTTCTCTGATGAGAGACCGGTCCCAAGATCTGTAAAGAAGTATGAGGTGGCATAAAGATAATCTCGCTTAAGAAAAAAAAAAAGAAGCAACAGATCTAAACAGACATTTCTCAAAGGAAGTACATGACCATGGAAAGAAGGGGGGAAAATACCACTTTTCATGAGGAAAGTAGATAAAACTCGGATGCTGCAGGAAATACCCTCACCATGGTGTTTAAAACGCAAGACAATAAGCCAAACACAGAGCAAGCAGGAGGCTCCAGGGGCCCCTTTGGGAGCAAGAAGGCTAGGAAGCACCATCCCAGAACTGCTTAGATAGCAAAATAACTGATGGTTGGGCAACTGTTTTTTTTTTCCTTTTGGGTCACACCCAGTGATACTCAGGGGTTACTCTTGGCTCTGCACTCAGGAATTACTCCAGGTAGTGCTTGGGGAACCCTATGGGATGTCGGGGATCTAACCCGGTCAGCCGTGTCCAAGGCAAATGCCCAACCCACTGTCCTATCACTCCGATCCCTGGTCCAAGGTCATGGTCCTAGGTCCTCCTAGGTCACGGTCACGGTCCTCCCGTTGTTCATTGATTTGCTCAAGCGGGCCCAGTAACGTCTCCATCATGAGACTTGTTGTTACTGTGTTTGGCATATTGAATATGTCACGGGGAGCTTGCCAGGCTTTGCCACGCGGGAGAAATACTCGGTAGCTTGCCGGGCTCTCTGAGAGGGGCGGAGGAATCGAACCCGGCTCGGCTGCACGCAAGGCAAACGCCCTACTGCTGTGCTATCGCTCCAGCCCCAAATCCTAGGCATCCAAAGTAAATAAAGACCTTTACACGTTCACGCTGAAGCCTGTGTGCGAAAATTTCTAGTGGCTTTATTCAGTGACTCAAGCTGCAAACAACCCAGAGGCGGCTGAAATGTTATTTTCACAGAGCAGAACGCTGCTTGGCCGTCCGAAGGGATGATGCCAACGCCAGTTCTCAGCCCACCTGAAAGAGGCGGTCCGCGCGCGAACCACAGCGCCCCCTGGCGAGCACAAGGGGCGAGTGCAGAAGCGCCAGATCAAGGGAGAGCCGCTGGCTGTGAGACAGGAGCTGGCCACAGCCCGGCGTGGGAGGGACCCCTGGTCACCGCGACCACAGCAAAGGGAAAGGAAGAAAGGAGCAAAAAAAAAAAAGCCAAACTAATCTGTGTGTGTGTTGGGGAGGGGATGCTGCCTCGGAGAGCTGTAGGTATGTTTGTTTGTTGAACTTGAACGAGCTTCTGATGCACTTCACGCTAGGTAAGCCACCCTCAAAAGCAAGACACAAACAAACACAGACTGTGCTCTCAGGGGAAGTACCCTTAGCACGTATCTGAGTGAGTCAACACCAGTGTCTGTCCTGTGGAGGGACAGAGGATTGAACATGCACATCCCTGATGCTCACTAAAGATCCCCCCACCGCTGCCCCACGCAGGAAAGTCCCATCTGTGGACGTGGCGAGGAGGGGGCCCGGCCCCCCACAGCCTGGGTCCCGCACACATCCACAGGGGCCTGCAGGAGGGAGCTTTAGACGCCCCCTAAGACCAAGTGCCCCATGCACACGCCCCGCAGCAGGCCAGAGCTTTGAATCACGCTTTCAGAGTAGATGGGGCCCGTCGGGGCCGGCAGATGGTGGGCCTGGACGTGGGGAGCATGCTCGTCATCCGAGAGGCGAGGCCAGCAGCCCACTCATTCCCCGGACTCTGCTTCGGGTGCTCTCAGTGTGAGAGCTGCAAGGCACGTGGCGACCACCAGGGCGGGCAGGGACATGCTCCCCCCACCCGCAGGGGCCTCGGCATTGCTCAGCCGGGGCTTCCTGAAGTCTGGGCAGGGACAGGGCCGGGGGACAGGACGCCGGGAGGGGAGGGGCAGCACCACCCTACCTCGCTGGCCATGTAGGTGTAGAGCACTTTGCCCTTGATGACGAACCAGAGCTTCTTCCAGTGCCTCTTGCCCTTCTTGCCGCGGCTGAGGTAGCCACTGATGGCCGAGCCCTCTCCGGACGCGGCCACCTGGCGGGAGGGGAGCACAGGTCAGGGCACGCCGGACAGCGTCAACCGGGAGCAGATGGGGAGCAGATGCTGCTGGCACCCAGGGGCAGGCGCTGAATCGACCCGGGCGTGCTGCCCCCTGGTGGTCGTTCTGATTCTCATTCTGGCTGCCCCCTGGGGAAAGGGTCTTTTTCCAACGGGATTCTGGCACCTTTTAAAAAATTGGTCCTGACGCTCTTTTGGTTTTGTTTTGTTTTTGTTTTGGGGCCCCCCGAGCGATGCTCAGGGGTTACTCCTTGCTCCGTGCTTAGGAATTACTCCTGGCAGGCTCGGGGATGCCAAGGATCGAAACCTGGTCAGCCCCAAACGCCTTCCCTGGCTGAAGTATCGCTCCGGCTCTGGTCTGATGCTTCTACCTTTGTTGTTCAAATGTTCAAGGGGGGATCTTCTTCATACCGCTTAACAAGAGTATTTCTGTTGTTGTTTTCTAATTTTATTTTTTTTGGCATTTTGGGTCACACCCAGCGATGCTCAGGGGTTCCTCCTGGCTCTGCACTCAGGAATTACTCCTGACGATGCTCGGGGACCACATGGGATGCCGGGGATTGAACTCAGGTCGGCCGTGTGCAAGGCAACCATCCTACCTGCTTGTCCTATCACTCTGGCCCCTAACAAAAGAGTTTTAGGTCCTCCTGCTAACGGGGTATATTCACTGCTCCTGTCAGCTCCAAGGGTGCCGAAGGCGTCTGTCCGCCCTTTGCTGGACAGGCTCCACGTAGGGGCCAGAAAGGACCCAGGCAGGGGACTCGGGCAAGTCGGAAGGAGAAAGGCCAAGAGCCAAGGACACGCCTCAGGTGGAAGACAAAGATTCAAATGAACGGAATCCCTCAAAGCTGACCACAGAGGGGGTGACCACCTGGGGGTTGGGGGGTGAGAGAGTGGATGGAACACTCTAGAACTCTGGTCATCAGGGAGAAAGCTCTACTCATACATGACTGCAAACTGCTGGGGGTTTGGGGGCTCCATTCTGCAGTTGGGGAGGAGAGGGGGGGGGGCGGGAAGAAAGCCAACACCAGGACGAGCTGGCAGCGAAGGGGAGGACCGAAGCGGCTCCCGGCCCCCGGTGGCGCATCAGGGCTGACTCTCCTGTTTGCTGGGCCATGGGGGTCCCCACCGCCATGCTCACCTCAGTCAGCGCTGACGGGACTTTCTTCTGCTTCCGGAAGGCGGCGGGGTTGATGCTGTGCAGGACCGATGAGAAAGCACTGCTGGACAGGCGGTATGAGGCCGGCGGGAAGCTCATGCTGGCCGGCCGCTCTGAAAGGACAGCGGCGAGTGGGCGCCCCAGCCCGGCTCCCGGTCCCGGGGGCTGCCCCCCGAGAGCCCAGCTCCCACCCTCCCCGGGGCTGCCCCAGAGCCCAATTCCCGCCCTGGGTGGGGCTGACCCCCAGAGTCGAACTCCCGCCCTCCCCAGGGGCAGCTGCAGAGCAAGGGGCCTCTGCCTCTGTGCTCCAGCACCCCCGCTGCCAGCCCCGGCTGGGTGCAGGTCTCGGGGGAGCGGCGGGGGGGGGGGGGGAATGCAGGGGCTGGAGTTGCCTCTCCTGATCCTTATCCTCAAAAGGTGAGTGTGGGTGACCACAAGGCCCTACCGAGTGGGCACTGAGCGTGGGTGACCAGAGAGCCACATGGGCACTGACTGTGGGTGACCACAGAGCCTCATGGCCTGAGTGTGGGTGACCACAGAGCCACATGGGGCACTCACTGATTGTGGGCAACCACAAGGCCACTGATTGTGGCCCCCCCCCCCCCCGCCCCGGGTGCACAGGTGTGTGTCCGGCCCCATTTCCACCTCCAGGGCGACGGGTCCCACCTCTCAGCAGCACGGGCACGTCCCCGCCCCTCCTCTTCAGCTCTCCATAGCAGCCGTCGCAGACCTTGGCCAGCCGGTCCTTGAGGTACTTGAGGGGGTATTTGTTCCTCGAGCAGTTCCTGCAGACGATCTGTGGGCCGGGTGGGCACATGCGTCACGGGGGCTCCCCGGACACCCACTTGGGGTTCTCCTAGCTCAGCTCAGCCTGGGCACCGCCGGTGCATCTGCCTGTTTCCTGCTCTTGCTGGCGGGCCAGGGACCGAACCCGGGGCTCCTGCGTGCATGGCAGGGTCCGTCCCACCAGCCATGCCCAGTCCTGTGTCACCGACTGTGCGAGCGTCACAGACAGGAACGGGGCCTTTTGGCCAACCACACGACTGTGCTATGCCCATGCCGATGAATGGCTGGGGCGGGAGAGACAGACCAAGGGGCTTGAGTGTGGGCAAAGCATGCGGGAGTCCAGGGTCCCAGCCCCAGCACAGAGGCAGAACTCACCCCCAAACACCTCCAGAGAGGACCCCCAAACAGAGCCAGGACTCACCCCCAAACGCCTCCAGGGAGGACCCCCAAACAGAGCCAGGACTCACCCCAAACACCTCCAGGGAGGACCCCCAAACAGAGCCAGGAGTCACCCCCAAACACCTCCAGGATGGACCCCCAAACACAGAGCCAGGAGTCACCCCCAACGCCGCTGTGTGTGGCCCCAAACATGCCACACTAAGTGTGTGATGGGGACACTGAAGAACTGCCGGGATCTTGGCACCTTCCGGATCTGCCACACGGTGCTGTCACCTCTGCGGGAACCGGGACCCCACAAGCCCCACAACCGTGCCACGCCCCTGTGTCTCCCCGGAGTCCAGAGGGGTGCGGGCGCGAGTGAAAAGGGGATCAGCATCCCTGACCACTGGGGCGGGTGCCCCTGGGGGTGGCCACGCCACATGGAGGCCCGGAATGTGCCGTGTCCCGTGTCCCCCGTCCGCCCCTGGGACCTCACCTTGCCGCAGGCGTGGCAGTGGTGGCGCCGCAGGGTCAGGGAGAAGTCGCAGCCGCAGTTCATGCACATCATCACGTGGGTGACGGGCACCAGGGTCGGGGGGCGTTCGCCCAGGCTCACCCCCAACCTCTCTCGAACCTGGGGCCACAGAACGGGGAGGGCAGTGAGGGTGCTGGGCAGGAGAAGCCCCATTCCTGCGGGGCGGGGGTGTCTGTACACAGGTGGGGGAGGGGATGGGGCCCCACACTCCACACACCGGCCCCTGTGTGCCCACCTCCACCTCCTCCAGGCGCGGGAATCAAGGAGGAAACAGCTCGGGCCCTCCAGAGCACAGACCCCCAGCCCGGGCCCCCGCACCCACTCACCTCCACACTGTGGTGGAAGGCGGCCAGGGCCTGCGCCTTGTAGTCCTCGGGGAGGGCTCTGCTCAGGCAGGCGTGCCACTCGTCCCTCTCGGCGCAGGAGCTGCAGGCACGGGGGCACAGGGGGTCAGGGGGCCCTGCCCCAGCCCTCCCCCGGGTCTCAGCCGCTCCAGCCCCTGCACCTCCATCCACCTCGTGGGGCAGCCGGGGCCGCTTCTCTGCCCGTGATCCAGGGACAGTGACACCCCCCACCCGGGCTGCAGAGGTAGGACAGGACAGGAGGGGGGTGGACAGGCTGTCCCTGAGGGAGGCTGTCCCGGAGGGAGGGTGCCTTGCTTTAGGAGGGCTGAGCTGGCAGGGGCAGAGCTCCGTGCTCCGGGGAGCTGGCAGAGGTCCACCACCCAGTTCCCCACCTTCCTCCTCACGTGCCCACGTGACCCCCAGGGTCCGCTGCCCTGTCCAGCGGGGAAGCGGGTAGCGGGGGAGGAGGGCAGAAGCAGTCGTGCAGTTCTCATAGTGTCCACTAGGTGTCGCTCGTGCCCAGCAATGGGGGGCTGGCAGCCACATTTTGGGTCCCTAAACTGTGGGGGAAGGGTCTGGGGACGCTGACAAGGAAGCAGCCCTCTGCTGGACCCCCAAGTAAAAACCTTCCCGGCACTATTTTCCCAAGGCTTCCTGCCTTGAAGACCCTGCCTCTGCGGCCCGGTGCCCCCAGGAGCGCCCCCTACCTTGCAGACAGAGTCAGGCAGGACTCGGGGGTCTCGATCCTGAGCGCGTAGGGCACCTTGTCCATCACGGGGCGGCTGACCTGGAAGCAGGCGGCTGCTCAGCCCTCTCTGCTTGGGGCCCGGGTCTCCTCATCCGTGAGAGCAGCCTTTCCGACATGTGTGTGCCGTGCGCAGACATGTGGACGTGTGCAGGCGTGTGCAGACATGTGCGCGTGTGCAGGCAGGCCTATGCCTGGCGTGTATGCCTGCAGATATCTGTAAGGGGTGTGTGCACGCGTGTCTGCCTGTGAACCTAAGCACTGATGTGTGTATGCATGTGTGTGAGTCTGCATGGCCGTATGTGAATGTGATGTGTTCATGTGTTGTGTACGTGCACATGGTTCTTGCATGTACACAGGTGTATGTGTGCTGTGTGTGCCTTAGGTGTGTCCACGTAGATGCATGAGTGTGCGCGCGCACGTGTGTGTGTGTGTGTGTGTGTCAGAGCGGGCTGCTCATTGCCCGTGGCCCCCACCCTCAGTGAGGCAATGAAGCACCCCTCCTGGGGCCCAGCACCCAGAACCTTCCTCTGACACGCCCCAGAGTGCTCCGGGGGGGTTACAGGGGAGTCTGTCCTGCAGGGCAGAGCCTCCCCGTCCGGCTTCTGCCCGCAGAAGGGAGGCCCCACCACCGGCCCCAAGACCCGCTACCTTTGTATCCTCTTCCCTGGGCGGAACAAACTTCCAAGGACCCACAGCTCAGAAACTCCTGGACCGGGTCGACTCTCAGTAACGGGGTGGGGGTAGCTTGGCAGTCCCCCACTCTCCATGCCTCTGACGCAGGTGAGAGTGTGGTTGCCGCCTTCCTGGTCACCATGTGAGCAGCTCAGTGCCCTCCGTGGAAAACTGCCTCAGGACCCCGCTTGTGTGATGGCGGGTGGTCAGTCTCAGAGGCGGAGCCGTGAGGGGGCAGCGGGGGTGGGGGAGTTGGTGTTTCCGGGAACTGAGTGCCCCTCTGATGCCACACTGGCAAATGCAGTTAAAACAGGGCTGGAGAGACGCTCGGAGGGCCGAGGGCACGTGGGCACCCCCATGTCAGGGGGCGCCCTGAGCGCTCCAGGCCCCCAAACAAGCAACAGATCAAAAAGGAAAAAAAAAAAGGAAGATCAAAACTCAAAAAAAAAAAATAATCCAAAGGTTCAAAGGGTCATGTTCAGGGCATGTGTATTTCCTGAAGTTCACAAAACTCTCCCAGGCCCCAGTTTCCTCCGAGGAGAACCCCCCCACCCACAGCGGGACGACATGGCGACCCCAGTCCAGGAACTCCTCCCTGCTCCCCTCTGCGGACTCCCCCTCCCCAGCTCGTCATGAGCTCCCGTAAGTCGTAAGTCGGGAGCTACCCTCCACCCCACCCCAACCCCTGCACACCTTCATGCCGGCCACCTTCAGTGTGTTCTTCAGCCGGTACTTCCCGTCCTTCTGGGGGTATGTGTACAGGAGCACGTCGCTCATCTGGGGACAGGGGCGCGCAGTGAGGGGGGCTGGGCCCCCTCAGCTCCACATGGGGGGAAGGGAGGCGTGTGGAGGGCCAGGTGCTGACAGGCACAGTCCCCCAAAGGTCCCGACGACCCCCTGCCTGGCGGCCCTAGGGCCAGGGTCACACAGCGGGAGGTACAGAGGGGGCCGCGGGCACCCAGGGCAGGGAGCGAGCACAGCCGGGTGTGGTCCCAAACACAGAGAGACTGTTTGGACGCTAACTCAGAGACGGGAATGGAACCTCCCACTGAACCCCACGATCCGCCTCTGGACAGGCAGGTGTGGGCTGCGGTCAAGACCAGCTGGGGTGGCCACGCTGCGCCTCCTGGAGCCCAAGGCTGACGGGCTGAGTGACCAGTGGCGGGCTGCCCCGGCCGGTGTTGGGGGTGGCAGGAAGGGCCTTGAGGGGTGCAGAGGGGCGTGGGGCCTCCTGGGTCCTGGATCGGTGTCACCGCCCCGTGCTGGGAGTGTCCAGCCAGGACCCCTCCTCTGGCCCTGTGGGCTGTCCTGCATCAGGGACGGCAGGGGAACCCCGGTTTCAGGATGATCTGGTGGTGATGGGAGAAGGAATGTGGGCGGGATGTATGTGGTGGCCTGGGGTGGGGGGACACGGGCTGTTGGGGGGGCGCAAGGACTCACCAGGAACAGATGCCGGGGCCGCCGGGTCCTCCCCGCCACCTTCATCAGCGTCCCCTCCTTCAGAAACTCCTACAGGGGACACACAGACCGGGGGCTCAGCCGATGCTCCCCCACACCAGAAAGGGGGACCCAGGGGCACTAGGAAGTGGGGCAGACCCTGGCTCGAGCCAAGCCTGGAGCCGGAGTGGTAGGACAGCGGGGAGGGCGCTGGCCTTGCACGCGGCTGACCCGGGTTCAAATTCCGGCTCCCCAAGCACTGCCAGGAGTGATCTCTGAGCACCAAGCCAGGAGTAAGCCCTGTGCCTTGCCAGATGCGGCCCCCAAGACAATACATACACGCATACATGCATACACACATCCCTAAAGAGCCAGGCCCTTGAGTGACGGGGTTGTGAGGGCAGCACCCCGGCCCCGACCCCACACAGCTCCTCCTGCTCTTCTGACCACTGGGGTCTGCAGATCCCCCACCCGTGTGCTGCCACGGGGAGCCCCCAGAATCTGGCCTCGGGAGGAGGGAGGGCGTGCACCCCGTGATTCTGGAGGGCACAGACAGACCGAGAGCAGGGCTCACAGCTGTGTAATCTTAGGCTCAGGGCCACGAGCCCGCCCAGCATGGGGAGGCCCCGTCCTCCGCTCCTGCCCTCTGGGGCCACTCCTGGCTGTGTCTGGGAGATCATAAGTGGGGATGCAGATGGAAGAAGGAAGCGTTTTTAACTCTGCACTCACTCTCTCTCTTTCTCTCTCCCCCCCTCATTTCTCTCTCTCTTCCTCTCTCCCCTCCTCCTCTCCTCTCTTCTCTCTCTCCAACAAACAAGGTCCTTTTTGCTTGGTTTCCGTTTGGGGACCACTCCTGGCAGGCACTGGACACCACACAGTGCCAGAGATGGAGCCTGGGCTGGTGTGTGCCAGGCCAGGCAGGCGCCCAGCTCGCCGTCCTATCTCTGGCCCGTGCTGGACGGTGACGGAGCCAAGTGCGTTTGTCTTTTTCTCCTCCCATTTGGAACGTCAATGCGGGCAAGTCTGTCTCATGGTGGGGAGAGCTGAGAGCATTTCACGGGGGACCCGAGGGCTTTTAACCCGTCCTCACAGCAGCACCCGCTGAAAGCAGAGAGGCTGTGTTTTCCCCAAGGAGATGAGAACCACAGGTAACACTGAGCTCCCCCCCCCCCCCCCCCCCCGCCAACAGTGTGACTTTAAAGGCGCCCCCAGCAGGAGCCCGAGGGCCCAGGGGAGTCTCCCAGCCCCCTCCCACGTCGGGCCCAGCCCAGGGAACAATGTGCTTATCGGCCGCTCTGCCCGCCTGCCGGGCACTCACCCTTCCTGGCTGGACGAGGTCCCCCTGGCCCCGGACGCTGTGCTCGATGTGGACCAGCTTCTGCAGGTTTTCCTGTGGGAAGGGCAGGGGGGGCGAGGTCAGGGCCCCCAAGGGGTCTTCTCTCCCCTGGAGGGGCCACCATGGCACGGAGCCCACAGGAGCGGTGCCCCTCCAATCCCGTCAGCTGCAGACTAGCCGGGACCCCGGGATTAGGAGGGGCGCAGGGTGTGGCCCCCACTTCCTGCCCGGTTGACACCTCTGGAATCTGGGGTCCGACCCCCCTTGTCTTCAGGCTGAGGGGGTCAGGTGGACTCCAGGCCACCAGCCTCACCCCCAGCCAGTGTCCCCATAAGCCGGGGTCGTGGGTGACAGACACGCTGGGCCAGGCTGTCCTCCTGGGCGCCTCTAAGGAGAGCAACCAGCCTGAGTCAGGGGACATCTGGGCGTGACCCATGCAAAGTGACGCCCCGTCGGCCCTCACACAGCACCCCACAACCAAGACACGACAAAGCAGTTATCTGGGGCGGAGCTGGAAGGCTGCTGGAAACCGCTGGGAACTGCGTGAAGTGGGTCCATCAGTGAAGCCCGGGGCGGCAGCGGCCCAGGCCCCGCATCCAGGCCAGCGAGGCACCGGGGCAGAGCTGAGGGTCGCTCTGGCCCGGCTTGACACAGAGTAGTGGGGAATGTCCGTCTGCCAAACTGAGAGGGAGAAAAGGCCGGGAAATTCCCGGAACCAGAAGCCTCAGAACCGAATCCTGGAACCAAGAACCCTCGGAACTGAATCCCGGAACCAAGAACCCTCTCTACTCCCTGGCGCTGCAGAACCGAATCCCAAAGCCCCACCCCAATGCCGTGGCTCCTCAGTGGGTCCCGAGCCCAGCAGCCCTCGGGGGGCCCAGAGAAAAGTAAAGGAGGGTGACGGGTGTTCGCAGCCGCGCAACACCTTCAAATTCTCCAATACCGACGACCTGGCGGGACACGGCCTAGTGCGGACGGGAGGGACAGAAGCCAGTGAAGCTCCACTACAAACACAGGACACAGACGTTCCCGGAGCTGCAGTGCAGGGAGCCCATGGGACCCGGGGCCCCATGGTGAGACAGAACAGTCCCCACAAAGTTCCTTTGCCGAAGGATTCTTTGATAATCCCGTTAGCCCCCCCTTTTTTTTTGCTTTTTGGGTCACACCCGGCGAAGCTCAGGGGTTACTCCTGGCTCATGCACTCAGGAATCACTCCTGGCGGTGCTCAGGGGACCATATGGGATGCTGGGAAATTGAACCCGGGTTGACCGCGTGCAAGGCAAACACCCTACCCACTGTGCTATCGCTCCAGCCTCCCCCATTAGCCATTTAATGCTAAGCAACAACATAAAATAGATTCTCAGGGGCCTGCTCCGGGTGCAGGCTTGGGGGGTGGTTGGAAAAATGGGGCCAATAGCGGAGGGAGGGGGACAGAGGTGGCGGGATTGGGGCTGGAATGTTGAATGCCTGTAACAGACTGTCACGAACAACTTCATAAACCCAGTGTTTTAATTAAGTGAAAAAAAAAATTTTTTAAATAATCGAAAACAAGAAGAGGGTCAAGGCTGAATGCAGGGACTGGGAGACAGGCTGAGGGCAACAGGAGTCCCATGGCCACGCCCACAATCACCCCCAACACCTTTCCAGGAGTTTCTGCTGGGGGCGGCCGAGGGTAAGGGGGTGGACAGGGTCATCTCCTCCAGTGCAGAGAGTGACCCTCTGCTTCCACCCAGGGGTGAAGAGAAGCTGAAGCCGAGAGTGGCCAGGGCTGTGTCCACATGCAAAGGGCAGTGTGGGAAAGAGCGTCAGGGGGGAGGAGGCAGAGAGCGTCGGCGGGGTACAGGAGCGGGGGCCCCCAGATGCCCTCAACAGTCATGAGCCTGGCACGGAGGACCCTCCTAAAGGGGGCGGGAGCACGGAGAGCGATGCCTCCCCGAGTCCCAGCGCGGCTGAGAACTGAGCACGAAGCAGGGACATGAAACTCTCCTGCCTCACCGGCCAGAGAAGTGCCTGTCGCGGCAGCCCCCACCGTGACCCGACAGTGACCACGGGAGTCACAAAACCAAACTCAGCCACAAAACCAAACCGGACTCATCTCCCCCGCCCCCCCCCAAGATACCTTGATGGGAAAAGGGGCCACAGGGCGGCCCCGAGTCTCCACGAGTTTCCTGCTGCTGTTCATTCACTGTCTAATCAACATCCGCAGTGACAGCACCACAGGGAGGGCGCCTGCCTGGCACGTGGCTGACTCAGTTCAATCTCGAGCACCCCAGAGGGTCCCCAAGTCCCACCAGGAGTGATCACCAAGTGCAGAGTCAGGAGGGAGCCCTCAGCACCACCAGGTGTGGCCTGGAACCAAATTAACCCCCCCCACCCCCAAGCAGAAGGCAACCCCCAGCTTATTTTCCAGAGAGAAAGCACTTGACAGAATGTGGGCTACACGGGGGTGCACCCCCCCCCCATCAGGGAGTCCAACCCGGGTCTTCTTAGGCCTTTTTCCTTTTAGCCACAGAACGCCAAGCCGGCCGGTGCCGCAGCTAACCCGGGACTCACGCGCGTTTGGTTCTGGATTCACTTTTGGTCCTTGTGGGCTCAGAAATGCTGGCCTGCGATCAAGTTTCCTGCAGCCACAGGAAACTCTCTGTGGGGCTGGAACCCACAGGGGAAGCTCTAGATGCTAGAGAAACTGTGTGTAAAGGTTCTAAGAGGTAGGAGGTGGTGGGTTTCAGGCATGCACTGAGAATGCCAGGCAGGAAGGATACAAGAGAACCGAGCGGAAATACTCAAAAAGGAAACAGTGGGGAAGAAAGCGGGAATACCTTTTCTTTTTTTTCTTTTTGGGTCACATCAGGTGATGCTCAGGGGTTACTCCTGGCTCTGCACTCAGGAATTACTCCTGGCGGTCCTCGGGAACCACATGGGATGCTGGGAATCGAACCCGAGTCGGCCGCGTGCAAGACAAACACCCTCCCCGCTGTACTATCACTCTGGCCCCAGGAATACCTTTTTTGGGGGGAGGAGAGAACATTCCTGGTGATGCTCAGGGGTTACTCCCGGATCTGAGCTCAGTAATCACTCCTGACAGTGCTCGGGGGGGGGGCGCATATGGGGTGCTGGGGATCAAATCCAGGCTGGCCCTGTGCAAGGCGAGGCCCTTCCCGCTGTACTCTCACACTGCCCGTCCCTTTGACAGGCTGAGTAGAACCACAGCCACAGGGAAAAATCAACAAACTTGAAGTTAGGTGAGCAGAGATCGTTTCAATGGAATCCCAAAGAGGAAAAACGGGATTCAAAGGGAAAGAGGAGAGGGGCTGGAGAGACAGCACAGCGGGTAGGGCGTTTGCCTTGCACGCGGCCGGCCCAGGTTCAATTCCCAACTTCCCATATGGTCCCCTGAGCACCGCCAGGAGTAACTCCTGAGTGCAGAGCCAGGGGTAACCCCTGTGCATCACCAGGTGTGACCCAAAAAGCAAAAAAAAAAAAAGTCAAAGGGAAAGAGGTAGGGTGGGGGGTGGAGAGATGGGACGGGGGGAGGGCGCTTGCCTTGCCCTGAGCTGACCCTGGTTGGATCCCCAACATCCCATATGGTCCCCCAGGCCCCGCAAGGAGTGATTCCTGAGTGCAGAGTCTGGAGTAAGCCCTGAGCATCACTGGGGGCGGCCAAACAATACAGATGCACCCAGCTCAGCCTTACAGATCTGAAGCCCTGGTTTGCTGTCTGGCACCGCTGTCACTGTCACTGTCCTCCCATTGTTCATCGATTTGCTCGAGCGGGCCCAGTAACGTCTCCATTGGAGACTTTGTTGTTACTGTGTTTGGCATATCGAATACGTCACGGGGAGCTTGCCAGGCTTTGCCGTGTGGGCGAGATACTCTCGGTAGCTTGCCAGGCTCTCTGAGAGGGGCAGAGGAATTGAACTTGGGTCGGCGGTGTCAGCTGCGTGCAAGGCAAATGCCCTACCCGCTGTGCTATCACTCGAGCACCTCAAAATAATTCAAAAACCCAATAAAGAGTGTAGACAAGGGGCCACGAGGGTGAGTGGGGCAGAGGTCCAGCATCTACCTTGGATACATCAGACCTACTGTTAATTCAAGACACACCCAAAACAACAAAAGCAGATTAAGAAAGTTTAGGGACTTAGGGCCGCAGCCACAGTACAGCGGGGAGGGCGTCTGCCTTGCACGCGGTTGTTTTGGGTTCGATTCTCAGCATCCCATAGGGTCTCCCGAGCACTGTCAGGTGTGACTCCTAAGTGCAGAGCCCAGAGTAAGTCCTGAGCATTGCCGGGTATGACCCACAAATGGCCCCCAAAAGAAAGGAAAATTCAGGGACAGATGGGGGGGCTGGGGGCTGGAGAGACAGCGTTGTGGGTAAGGTGTGTGGCTCGCATGCACCCAACCCAAGGTTTGATGCCTGGCGTCCCAGCACCATCAGGGGTAATTCCTGAGTGCAGAGCCAGGATACACCCTGAGCACCACCCGTGTGGCTTGAAAACTGAAAACCAAACAACAATAAACAAACAAACAAAAAAAAGGAAAAATGGCCACCTGGGAGAATTTTCCAAAATCCAACGGAAGATGACCAATTACAGGCCCTGAAACTCAGGAATCCCATCCCAGCCTGCGGGCCGAGAGCACACGCCAAGTCTGAGAGGTCAGTTACAAAGAGAACGCCCTGAAGGCAGCCAGAAAGAAAGGAAAAGAGGTGTAAGAAGGAAAAATGTCAACGTTAAGTCCTCATCCGCAGGTGGCAAGACACAGGCGTCTTCAAGGTGCCCGGAGTGAAAGCTGGTCCACGAGGCTGCGGTCCCCAGGAAGACACGGCTCAGGACGGAAACCAACGGGGCAGTTAAGGGGATGGATGGCAGGCGGTGAGGGCAGGTCCCTCAGTGCTGCGCGGAAATTCACCCCAAGTGAGGAGAACGGACGCCAGGAAGGCTCGTGGAGCGATGGATGAGAGCGGGAGCATTCATTAGGGCAGCACGGAGAGTTGTGTCCAGAGATGCCAGACACAACGCAAATGCGGATACTTCTCTCCCTGTCAGCTGAAAGGACCAGGAGGAAATGGAGCCCCTAGCAAGAGTCTCCCCTGGCACCCAGATCTCGGATCTTCAACCCCATGTTTGATGCAGGGAGCTGGGTCACTGGGGCGGTGACGGGTTCTAAGACTCGGGCGGAGAACAGACAAGACGACAGTGCCGGGGTGTAGGAAGAAACGTGACACCCTCACCCCATCTGGGCGGCTGGGGAGCTCCCCACAGCCACAGCTGGAACAGCCTGAGGAGACAGAGCACCGTGGTGGGCCCATGTGGGTGCGCAGGGCAGGTGGAACCTTAGAAACCAGACCTCCAGGAGAGTCGCCCGAAGGGAGGAGGGAGGGTGGTCAGTGGCTAAATGCCACCTCCTCCAGGAAGTCTCCCTGGTGCGCCCGACTGGCACAGACACTGCAAGTTCTTCGGACGGCCACATGGAGAAGGGGGATTTGGACAAAGGGAAACCAAAGCTCTGCCTTGAAGAGCATGGCTTGGGCTGCCAGACAGAGAGAGGCGTGTCGGGCTTGATCCAGAAGCCAGGAGGGGTAAGGACAGTCCAAGCAGCAGGCGGTGAGTTCTCGGGCGGGTGGTGGCCGCGGGGAAGAGCGGCAGAGCCCCCAGCCTGTCCCTCGGGGACCCCAGAGCCACAGTGCTCTGCCTCAGGGCCGGGTTTTCTGAACCGTCTGTCCACAACCTGAGCGGCAGACGCTGATCTGGCCGGCTGGCCATGTACGCGTGGCTCCCGGGCACCAAGGCCAGTGGGGCTGGACAGGGGCGGGGGCTCGAGGCTCAGCCCTGGGGAGGAAGCGGCCCCCCCCTTTCGGCCCAGCTGGAGGGGCTGTGGGGAGCCCAGGCACCCTGCTAACACGGCCCAATCGGGCACCAGGACCCCAAACTGCCCATCTGGCCACTCTGCGATGGTGTCCTCGCCATAGGTCTGAGAGGCTGCCCAGCAGCGAGCAGGGAGCAGGTCCAGGTCATTGGGGGTGGGATGTGCTCCCAGAGCCCCCCACCCCCATCCTGTCTCCCAGCCAAGGGGGTGACCTTGGAACTCTCCCACGCCCCAGTCTGCCCCTCTGCGCCTGTGCACGGCGGCCCCCGTTCCAACACCCCCACCATTCTTCCTCACAGTGTGCAGCCCGACCCCGCCGAGAAGATGCACTGTCCCCTCCTCTGGCCCTGGTGGCCTTGAGTCCACTCCCCTGACTGCCACGTCAGCCTGGGCTCCCTGCTTTGGCGCATTTGAACTGTGGTTTTCATGAGGGCGAAGGGTCGTCCCATCTCTGTGTCCCCACCCCCATTACAGGACAGTGGTTCTCAGGGGGGCTGAGCCTGACCCCAGGCTGCTCTGTCTCAGCTCAGCAAGGCACCCCCCTCCCCCCTCCACCCAACCGTTCACCCGTCTCTTCCTGGAAAGACATCACTAACCCACTGCTGAATTTCTGCCTCAGGGGTCACCACAGACGCTCCCCCCGACTCAGCAGGGACCCTCAGACCCTCCTCACACCGAGCTCTGGCGTCTTCATGGCTCAGCTGAGGACAGACATGGCCTCAGGGGCCAAGGGCAGGCTGTATGGTGCGCACAGAGCGGTCCCTCCTTGGCAGAGGCCAACCAGCACCTCAGGTCACACAGCAAGGCCAGGGCTAGAACCGAAGGTGCTCGGCGGGGTCCCATGAGAAAGCTCCTACAGTCCCTTCACAAAGCCGAGTAGGACCCGGTGGTCCTAAGCAGGGTGGAAGGTTCTGGAACCTTCACCCAAGGGTGGGGGCAGGGCCGGACTCACCCCTTGCTCCATGCTGTCGTTGGCGCGGTCCGTGATTGAGGAGATGAGGGTCAGCGCGCCTGCGGAGGGGGGCGGAGAGGAGGGTTGGGCTGTCTGGGAGCTGGCCGCCCCCTCCCCACGCCCCCCGCCCTTCCCCTCTGAGCTCACAGCGGCCCCGAGGTAGCCCACTACGGGTCGCAGGGAGCCCACCGTCTCGTGCCTGTCCCGGGCCAGGTGAGGGCAGAGTGGGGGCGCGATGCAGGCTGGCGGGAGCGTCCACTTACCCTGCGTGTCCTCGTACTCGGCCGAGTCGGGGCAGAGGTTATTTAGGTAGTCTGCGGGAGGAAGTGAGCGGGACTCAGGCTCCTCTCAGGGACGGAAGGCAAGTTCCGCAGGAGCGGGCGGGGTGGGGGGCACCCTCTAGTCCTGCAGCCAGCCCCCCCCGACCCCACGCTGGCCAGGACTGGCCCGGTCAGCACAGTGCCAGCCTGGCCGCCCTTTGTTCCTGCATCGTCATCAGCTGCTTCCTGAGAACCTGCCCCGCGCCCGGCTCTGGGGGCCTCGGATCTGGCGGGAAAAGGCAGGATCTGCCTCTTCCCACCAGGGTCTTGGCTCTCGGCCCCACCTCCACGTACCATCGCCGGGACTCCCCCCGGGCTCTGCCCTCCCTCCTGTCCTGCAGCAGGGGCGCCCTCATCACTGAGCCCTGAGCCCTGCGTCCGCCCCTGGGGGACGCTGCTGCTTTCTCCTACTGGGTGGTGTGGGAGCTGCCGCCTCACTCGCCAGCCAAGTATGCACACGCGTGTGTTTGTGTGCCTGTGTGTGCTTGCATGAGCACCTGTTGCATGCATGTGTCTTTAGTGTGCATGTGTATACGTGCACGTGTGTGAGCGTGTGTGAATGTTTGTGCATGCTTGAGCATGTGCGCATGCATGTGTGTATGTGTATGTGCGTGCAAGAGCATGTGTGTGCATGTGCATGTGTAAGCATGTGTGTACGCACATGTACATATGCATGTGTGTAAGCATGTGAGCGCGTGTGCATGTGTGTGTGAAAGCACATGTATGTGTGGGTGTGTGTGGGTGTATGCGTGAGCCTGTGTGTTCGCACGTGTGTGAGAGCGTGTGTGCATATGTGCAGAGCAAGGGCTGAGGAAACCCACAGAGTGGTGCCCGGGAGGCTACGCCGGGCTGCACCACACGGTTCTCACATGTGGGGCCACTCTCCTTGGACGCTGGTACCCAGGTGGCTGGGCAGGGCCTGGAGTACAGGGCAGAGCAGAGGTGTTTCTGGGAGGTGGAGAGGCAGAGACAGAGCAGGACGTGTGGCTGGGTGAGCGAGGGGCCCCTGCTCAGGGCGGGGTTCATCAGGCCAGACCCCAGGAGACCGAGAGGCACAGGGGTGGCCCCAGGCGAGCACCCACCTGTGAGCAGCACCTGATACTGGAAGAGGCGTTGCACCACCCTCAGCAGCCGGTGCTTCATGGCCGAGCCGCCTCCGGGCAGGCCCTGCTGCTGCGAGACACGGAAGCCCCTCAGAGATCCCTGTGTCCAACCCCCACCCCCGCCTCCAGGAAGGCCTTCCGGCTGAGCACTCCCTGGGGCAGGACAGGGACACGCCTCATAGAGTCCCTGATTTGTATCTAGTGAGAGAAAAGGACACACACACACACACGTGTGCACATATACACACAGGCATGTAGCACACACACATACACATATGCACCACACATGCACACATGCCACAAATGTACACACGTGCACGCACATATATGTACACACAGGCACACATCACACATGCACATACACATATGACACACGCAATGCACCACACTTAAACACATGAATACATATGCACACGCAGGCACACATACCGCACACATGCATACCACACGGACACATCACACAAGCACATACACACGTGTGCACACTGCACATGCTGATGCACACACATCACACACGCACACCAGACACATCACACACGGATATACACTTGTGTGCACACTGCACACGCATGCACACTCACACTTGCACAGGCACGGACACCACAATGAGCACACACACGCACATACATGCACACACATGCACACCGTTTTCTGCCCAGTTACTGAGTCCCCAGCTTGTGGCCATCACGGTCACTCTAGCCTGTCGCACCAGCCCCTGCTTCTTCCTTTGGTCACAGAAGAACAGCAGCCGGGCCCTGCTGGGGCACCCCCCCAACCCCCGCCAACCTCACTCACCCAAGAGGGGCTGTTCGGGGGCTGCCCCGCCCACTGCTCTTCCCAGCCCCTGACCTGCTCTGTCCCTGCGCGAAGCCCCTCACCCCTGTGCCCGACCCCAGCAGCCTGAGGGCCAAGGACCCACCTCGAATTCGCGGACGGCGGCCGCCAGCCGGGGTGAGTGCAGGCACGTCTCACCCAGCAGCCCCAGGTACCTGTCGAACTGCAGGATGTGCGCCGTGTGGTGGCCGAAGGCCTCGGCCCGGGCCAGGAAGATGTCGGCCACCTTCTGCTGGCTGTCCCTGCAGCGGGCAGGCAGGTGGCGACAGCTCAGCTAGGGGGCGGGGGAGACCAGCCCTCTGCAGGTGGGCAAACGCCCTAACGCTCGACTTCCCGGGTTCCCCGTTGGTAGATGGAGACCAACCCCCCACCCTGTCCCGTGTCCTGGGGTCCCCCGTCCCCCCGCGTGCTCAGCCGGCCCAGCTCACCAGTGCAGCAGCCTCGCCTCCAGCCCCTGCAAGATGCCGCGGTGGAGCCGGTGGAGTGCCGGGAGCTCGGCCAGGCCACGCCGCAGCTCCTCCCGGCCAGGCGAGTCCTTGCCTTCCTGGTCCATCTCATCCAAGGCCCTCAGGACAGCTCCGTGGAAGTCCTGAAACCCCAAAGGCCAGTTATGCGCAGGCGGAGCAGGAGTCCTCCTGCAGGGTCGGGGCCCGGCCTGCGCACGGTGGGCGTGGACGTGTTGGCGGGCGCCCACTGACCCTGGCCACACCTGCAGCTCATGGGACGGGTGCCCCCAGCCTGCCCAGCTGCTTGGGCATGCAGCATGGACACAGCCCCATCTGTCTCCGTCCTCGCTGGCACCCTGTGGATGCTCCTCTCTGGGATGGGGAATCCTCGGCTCGGGAAGTAGACAGACAGACAGACAGACAGACAGACAGAGACCCTTTACCAGCAACCAAAGACGTCCCCCCACCCACCCAGTCCCTCACACCCCACTGAGCAGTTGCTGGCGATGGGGTGGGGTGGGGTCGATGGGTGAACACTCGTGTCACGGTGCCACGAGATCGACTGTTTCCCTCATAGCACAGCGGCAGGGCCTTGCATGTGGCCGACGGGGCCAACCCGATTTCGATTCCTCCGCCCCTCTCGGAGAGCCCGGCAAGCTACCGAGAGTATCTCGCCCGCACGGCAGAGCCTGGCACGCTCCCCGTGACGTATTCGATATGCCAACAACAGTAACAACAAGTCTCACAATGGAGATGTTTCTGTTGCCCGTTCGAGCAAATCAATGAACAATGGGAGGACAGTGCTACAGTGCTCCGTGCCACGGCAGGCACAGGACGAGCACTGGACAGAGAGAAACAGTGTGGAATGGGATCAGGGTGGGCAATGAGTGCCGATGGATGGGGCTGCGAGGGCCCAGGGGGGGAGCGGTTCCTACTGACCTTCCTCCAGAAGGTCTGCATCAAGGCGTGCCACTCTCAAGAGGACACGAAACCTTGCAGGTGTTCAGTGATCAAGCCGGTCAGCCTCTCCCCACAGCAAGGAGTCCCTCAGGCTGTGGGCTCAAGGTTCAGGCCCTGGTGTGATCCCGGTCCCATGGGGTGCCTCCAGCATGGCTGGGTGCAACCGTGGAGGCCCCCGAGCATCACTGGAGTGGCCTGGGGAATCCCCCAGAACCCCGGGACCTCGCATTAAACCACTGTGACCAACACTTTGCCAGAGGGGCCCTGGGCCTCCTGAGCACTCCCCGTCGAAAGTAAAGAATGAGGGGATAGCAGAAGTGGCCTGTGCGTCTACATTCCCGGAGTATCTGGGAAACCCATGTGTGCAAGCACGGGGTCCCGCCCAGACCATGAGGACCCACATACTCCTGCAACGATCAGGATGGAGGGTCACTCTGCCTTGCTGGGCAGTCCCCGATGGGGCGCTCATTACTGGGCAGCCCCCGGTGGCCTTCCCTCAGCCAACATGCATCTATCTCTTTAGGGCCCGGAAGGTTCAGTGGCCAAGCACCAACCTCACAGGAACATGGCAGCGAGGTCAGAACCCCCCGGAGGTGAGACCCCACCCCCACCCCAGCCCCCACCACAACAGCAGGAAGAAGAGAGTCTCTGCACAGAAACCTGAAAGGGAAATGTGCTTGGGAAAGTACACCTCCTGCAGGAAGCCTTCCTGGGTTCCTCTCCTTCAGGTAAAGGAGTACAGAAGAGGAGGAATAAGAAAAAGAGAGGGAAATAAGAAGAGACGAGAAGGGGAGGGGAAAAGGAAGGACCAATAGCAAGCGAAGGCAGAGGAGGTACAGAGACTGGCAGAGGAATTCTGCCCTCCTTGGAATACTGGCAAGGGGGCGACAAAGGGCTCTGCCTCGTCACACCTCATCCAGTCTGAGCTCTGCCGCCCCAGGGAGGATGTGGTGATCCCCAGCACAGAGGAAGCAGTTCCAGACCCTGCGTGGGAGGGACCGAGTGTGTGAGCTCATGGCTGAGTGTGTGAGCATGTGGCTGAGTGTGTGAACTCGTGACTGAGCGTGTGAGCACATGGCTGAGTGTGTGAGTACGTGACTGAGTGTGTGAGCATGTGGTTGAGTGTGAGCACATGGCTGAGTGTGTGAGCACGTGGCTGAGTGTGTGAAATTGTGGTTGAGTGTGTGAGATTGTGGTTGAGTGTGTGAGCACGTGGCTGAGTGTGTGAGCATGTGGTTGAGTGTATGAGCTTGTGATTGATTGTGTGAGCACACGGCTGAGTGTGTGAGCACGTGACTGAGTGTGTGAGCATGTGGTTGAGTGTGAGCATGTGGCTGAGTGTGTGAGCTTGTGAGTGTGTGAGCACATGGCTGAGTGTGTGAGCACATGGCTGAGTGTGTGAGATTGTGGTTGAGTGTGTGAGCACGTGGCAGAGTGTGTGAGCATGTGGCCGAGTAAGTGAGCACGTGACTGAATGAGCAGAGCGACAGAGCCTGTGACCACCAGGACACGTTCCCCAGCCGCATCACAGCCAAGTGAGTGTGTGAAAATCAACTCACTGCCGCAAAAAGGAAAAGGGGGGGGATAAAGTTTTAAAAGAATTTTAACCATAGAATGTATATTCCAACAACAATGCAACACTGTTGAAACAAAGGAAAGAGACCCCAGCAGGTGGAAAGCCCGGACTGGGGGCTTCACACCGGCAGGTTCTCAGTGGCACCAGCACAGTCCGGCGCTTTCCTCAGAGCAACCGACAAGGCAGCTGGAAACGCAAGGGACCCCAGAAATCAGGAGCTGGGACAATGTCGGGGTTCCGGACCTTACCATGGGGTGTGGGAATCAGAACGATGTGAATCTGCTCAAGGACAGATCCCCGGGCAGAGGCGGCAACGCTGAGCCCCCAGAAACAAGACCTCAGGCGACAGTTAAGCGAAACCCCCTCCCCACAAGAAAGCCAGGCCCCTCCACCTGGAAAAGTCCACCTTTTCCAGCAATGGGCCTGACTCATCTGCATATCCACAAGCAAGAAAGGACCAGCAGGGCTTTCCTCAAAATGCAGCTGATTTAAATGACAGAGCTAAGGCTGTAAAACTATTAAAAAGGAAGTACTGGGGCTGGAGCAATCGCACAGTGGGAAGGGTGTTTGCCTTCCACGCCTTCGACCCGGGTTCGATTCCTAGCATCCCAGGAGCACCGCCAGTAGTAACTCCTGAGTGCAGAGCCAGGAGTAACCCCTGTGCATCGCCGGGTGTGACTCAAAAAGAAAAAAAAAAAGAAGTACAGGAGTGAAGCTCTGTGATTTTGAGCTGGGGTAAGTTTTCTTAGATGTGACACTGAAAGTATAATACCAAAAGACGGTGGGGGGAAGGAGGGAAAGAGAGAAAGAAAAAGAAGAGGGAGAAGGAGAAGGATGGGAGGAGAGAAAGAAATCGGATTTCACTGGAATGAAAAAAACAAACAAACTAACAAACTTTGGGCTCCAAAGGACACTATCCAGAGAATGAAAAAGCAATCTATAGAACAGAGAATTCATGCTAAGTGAAAAGAGTCCGAAAGAGGGACAGACATAGAAGGACTGCACTCATTTGTAGGGTATAAAACAACATAACATGAGGCTGACTCCTAAAGATAGTAGATACATGGGACAGATAGATTGCTCCATAGCTGGAAGCCTGCCTCGTCAGCAAAGGGGAGAAGGCAGCTGGAATAGAGAAGGGATCACTAAGAAAAAGATGGCTGGAGGAATCGGTTAGGATGGGAGATGATAACCATGGTAAACATGATAACCTCTCGGGGTCTGTATTGCAAACCATAAAAATGCCCAAAAGAAGAGAGAGAGTATGGGGAATCATGTCTGCCATGGAGGCAGAGGGAGGGCGGGAAAGGAGGGTTATACCGGGGATACTGGTGGTGGGGAATGTGCACTGGTGGAGGGATGGGTGTTTGATCATTGTGTGATTGTAACCCAAACATGAAAGCTTGTAACTATCTCACGGTGATTCACTAAAATTAAAAAAAAAAAAGAACAGGAGCATTTGGGCAAGTCACGTGTTTGACAAAGGTCTTGCAGGCAGAACCCATTCAAAGTAGGCAAAAGACTGGGATGGACGTTTCTTCAAAGAAATTAGCCAAGGACCCAGGAGCAATGGGGAAAGATTCTCCACATTGTTCCTCGCTAGAGAGATGCCACTTCGCGCTTCAGCGGCTTCGAGAGAGAAAACAATGAAGGAAAAAATAATCGTATGTTAACTAGGACTGCAAGGAAGTGGCCAAGTTGAACCCTGCCCCTGACTGGACAGAATAGGAACCAGCGCCACTGCTCAAGAGCATGGCAGGGTGGGTCTCCCTCCTGCACCCTCTCTTCCAGCTGTGTCTCTGCTAAACTTCAGGCGACCGATTCACGCCCTGCTAGTCTCTGGAAGCTGCTTAACGGCCACCCCATCCTGCGACCCACCTGGGTTACTTCAGCAGTCAGCCTAAGGGCTGTCAATCTTCCTACATCTTCCAGAAATCTGAGGGGGGGGGGAGGGAGTCGGGGAAGGGGATCATCCTGACATAAAAAAATTATCACAATCCAGCTTAACAACGAATGCATATTCTCCCACGACCCTCCAAGACACATCCAGGCCTGACATAATTTATTTAAAATTATGTATCTAGAGCAAAGCGGGCCTCTGAGAAAATTCTATTGAATTTTATTCTATGACCGAGTTTATTCTATGACTAAGAGGACACCGGGCACCTCCTGGCACCTGTGTTCGGGGGCCTAGAGCCCAGCAGGAAAAGTGCTGACTTTGCAAGAAGCGCTGCCCGTGTGCTGCCCGCAGCCTTCAAACGCCGCAGTCAGCCCCTCCCTCGCCGCTGCTCCCCAGGGCTCAGCTCCATGCTCAGAACACGGCCAGGGTCGGAGCCTGAGGCGCAGACTGGAATTGTCCAAAGAGCTTTGCAGCTTCCCAAGCTTAGGCCACCCCCAGGACCCATCACACAGGAATCCGGGCGTGGGACCCTAGCCCCTGATTTTAATTACTTATTTCTGTTTCGGGGTCACTGCCAGTGGTACTCAGGGCTTACTTCTGATCTGCACTCAGCGATCACTCCTGGTGGGGTGCAGCGGGACATCAGGGGTGCCCAGGATCGAGCCCAGGTCATCCATATGCAAAGCCAGTGCCTCACCTGTGGCATTGTCTCTCCGGTCCCCTCCCCCCCCCCCTTATTTTTAAACCCCCCAGGTGCCAGTGCGTGATGAGAACTGGGGTCCAGTGGTGAGGGGAGGTGGGATTCCAAGGGGGAGAGGCTGACAGGAAGCGTGAAGGGAGCTAACAGGACCATCTCCTGTGGAGCTCAGGGGCTACGTCCATGGGGAGCCCCTGGACTGTGGGCTGACCGCTGGGCAGGGACACGGGCAGGAGAATGTGGGCTGACCACTGCAGGGATATGGGCAGAAGAACATGGACTGACCACTGCAGGAACCTGAGCCGGAGAATGTGGGCTGACCGCTGGGCAGGGACATGGGAAGGATAATGTGGGCTGACCGCTGCAGTGATGCAGGCAGGAGAATGTAACTGACCACATGGGCAGGACACGGGCAGGAGAATGTTCCCCTGACCAGGAACGAGAGAGTTTCCCTGCAAACTTGGACTCTGTGCCTGCAACCCCCCCTCCCCGCCAGTCTTGGTTACACGTTCCCCTTGGGTTTCGGGGTTGTTGTTTTGTTTTGGGCCACACCCGAGGGTGCTCCTGGCTCTGGGACCACTTCTGGAGGCTCGGGGGGCAGAGAGGGTGCTGGGGATAGGACCCGGCACACACCCTCCACGCTGTATTAGCGTTCCTGTATCTTCCTCTTGCCTTTGGCCTCCAATCCCCAGAAGAGGTGAAAAGCCCATCCTCAGGCTCTCGGCCGTCAGACAGGAGCTCTGGGGAACGGGGATCTGAGGGGCCCCCAGTTAGACCTCTGCCCACTGACCAACACAGGGATCCCAAAGAGACAAGTTCACGGTCTCCAAAGGAGTCGCGCTAGCCAGACTCCCCCGCTGGAGAGATGCGGACACGGGCGCCCGTCCCGCCCCTAATCTGCACCCCACCCTGGCATCACTGTCTCCCTGGAGACGGCCCAGGAACACCTGCCGACCTGAGCGATCGGGATGAAACCAGGCTGGAGAGTGGCCCCAAGGGCCCTTTGGACAGCGTCCCTGGCCCATACGCATGCAGACACACGACTCCTGGCCGCTCGCCCGGGAGCGGATCCCATGTTCAGTCTTTGCTTTGGGGCCACGCACAGCAGCCGTGGGGCTGGTCGGTGGCACCTGAGCTGAGATCTGCCAGGCGGCTTTATGCTCTTGCATCTCCCAGGCAGACACAGCCAGAAGGCTCTGGCTTTGGTGCTCCTCAGAGTCCTGAGACAGGCACTGGGCCCCTCAGATACCCGCTCAGTGTCCGCGGGAGCAGTGGACCAGGAGACCGCGGGGACCGTGGGCAGGGGGGTAGTGCTTTGGGGGCCGCAGCATGGGCGAAACCCTAGCCACGAAGGGCAAAACGGGGGCTGGGGTGCAGGCCAGCGGTGGGTTCTGGCCCCTCCCAGGACGCAGTGCCCTGCTCACTGACCACGTGCCAGATGCTGCTGCCGCGGGACCTCAGCCGGGTGCTCGCCACCATGAGCGAGATCCCCACGGGGAGGTCTTCCACGGCTGCTGAATCGGGGGCTTGGCGCGAGGCAGAGGACAGTGTCGGGAGACCTGGGGTCCCTGGGGTTCGGATCTCCCCCACACACGGGTCCAGCACAGACGCACTTGGGAAGAGTCGGTGAAGGAGCCTGGGAGCTGAGAGGTGACCGCAGAGGGCTCTGGGGAGCCATCACAGGGTCAGAGGTGACTCAAGGTGTCACATCCCCCTGTGTCTCCTCCCCCCTCCCGCCTATGACTCAGCCCCCAGCAAACGACAAAGTCACCTCCTCAGGGAAGTCGACCTAGGTTGCCGAACACTCCCGCTAGGCTCTTCACTAGTCTGTGTCCATGGCAGGCCAGTTTGTCCCTGGACGGGAGCCTGGACTGACCCATCTTGCCGTTGCCCAGTTCTAGGCACATAGATCGTGTTCCAAGATGGGTCTGATGGGTCACCAGACTGTAGCCAGAGGGGCCCCCAGGGGGCTCAAGCCTGGTTCCCCCAATGTTGCGGTGACTGAACCCCCCCACCCCCAGGCCATGGACCCCAGCTGCCCTGCCAATGGGCAGATACGTCCCCTTCTCCAGAGGGACCAAAACAGACATATCGCAATGCCACACACGGACGCACATGCGTGCACTCACACATACATTAACATGCATACGCGCACACACGCAAACACACACTCACACACCCACACTAACACATACGGACACACACAAATACACATGTAGACACACAAACACACACACACGTGCATGCGCTCAGATTAATCAACGCACGTGTTCGCACTCACACGCACACACAGTGGGACCTGATCTGGCCACTGCCCTCTTGAACAAGGCGGGTGCACACACACACCCTCGCAGACACTCCCACACGGTCCCTGCTGACCCCGCTCGCGGGGAGTCCCCGCAGCTCTCTGGGCGCCGTCCCTGTGGCCAGGCCTCTGGTCCCAAAGGCCACCAGCTCGCACCTGTGTCCCGCCGCCCCCCTCGCGGGGACTCGCCCAGGAACTCACCAGGTCCAGGCGCTGGAGCGTGTCCACGTACCTGCGGGGACAGAGGGCGGGCCTGCGTGAGCCTCCCGCCCGCCCGCCCAGGTAGGCAGACCGCACTGCTGAGCGGGCACTCACGCTCTCTCCGACGCCAGCAGCTCCTGGGCGATGACCTGGGCGCGGGACTGGCCTTCTCCCTGCGGGAGGAAACCGCCATCAGGCCGTGAGGGGTCCCCGCGCCAAACGCAGGCCAGCCGGGCACCAGGGACCCCCCTGGCCCCCGAGCCCCACACGGCCCATCTTCCCCACTCTGGGGCAGGAGCCGCAGCGCCAACGCTGGGCAGAGGGGCCACGGAGAAGGGCCCCACCTGTGCCCCAGCCCCCATGCCCGGCCCCCTCCCCGCTGACCGCGTTGCTCCCAACCCACCCCCCCCCCTTCTGCTGCAGTGACGGAGGGTCTCACGCACTCGGTTGTGTTCTCGTAGGGATGCCATCACATTCCCTGCAGTTCTGGCCGGCCTGGAGCAGCCTCGCCCTCCCCCCCACCCCCCAGCTCAGCCCTCCTTGAGCCTCTCCCCAGCCCTCTCCCCAGCCCGCCTGCAGGGGGCGTCCCTCCCAGGGCCACCTAAAAGACCCAAAGGACCCAACAAAGGGAAGTTGAGGCACGTGCACTAAAGGAGGACACGTGGGGGTCTTGGGGACACAGAAAGGACGAATGAGCCCACAGGGTCCTGAGGGACAGGGGCGGGGGTGCCACCTGCAGGGTGGGCCTGCACCCGCCAGGTCTGGGCACCACCCAGGTCATGCCCAGACACAGTTCAGCTGGGCAGGGGGTGACTGGGCCTCCGGCCGCAGCACAGGCCTCTGCTGGGAACCCCAAACTGCAGGCTGCCTGCTGGGATCTAGCAGGGCGGGAGCACAGGGCCGCCCGACGGACCTGACAGGGTGGACCAGAAGGGCCCGCTCAGCCACCCACAGAGGCCCACTGAGTGGGGGTGTTACCGAACCCCAAGGTGCCCCCCAAGAAGAGAGCAGCAGCTTGTGGCCCTCCCCGCGGGCAGGCCCGGCTGGAGGCAGCGGTCTGGGCCCATCCCATTCTGCCTTCTCCTGAAAACCATTTTTCCAAAAAATCCATTCCCTGCTAGCCCTCAACATTTTTATTTTATTTATTTATTTTTTTGCTTTTGAGGTCACACCCGGCGATGCACAGGGATTACTCCTGGCTTTGCACTCACGGATTACTCCTGGTGGTGCTTGGGGTACCATACGAGATGCTGGGAATCGAACCCGGGTTCGCCGCATGCAAGGCAAACGCCCTCCCCGCTGTGCTATCGCTCCAGCCCCCTAGCCCTCAACATTTTTATCTGGGAAATGGGTGTGTGAGCATGATGGTGTCTCACCCGTATGCACAGGGCCGCAACAGAAGCATGGGGAAGTTTATGTTACAGTACACAGACACGCTTGTGTACCTGATCCACTCTCTGTCCACCTTCTGTCCACCCACTGACCCTCCAGCACGTGGCTACCTACCCAGCTACCATTCAGGAGCTGCCTAAAATGGCCCTGGCATGCAGGACATGTTCCACAAATTCCAGATAAACAAGAGACACGTGCCCTGGGGCGGCTCAGAGGCAGAGCACTGGCCTTGCACGTGTGGGACCAGGGTCCAATCCCCGGCACCGCACGGTCCTCTGAGCACCGTCAGGAACAAACCTTAAGCATGGAGCTGGGAGGAGGCCCTGAGTCCCACCAGTGTGACCCCAAACCTCAAAATAAATAAAGAAAAGAGGGGCTGGCATACAGCAGGTGCTCAATAAAGGAGCTAGTTCCTTCCTGGCTGTCCTGAAGATTTTTCTCGGCAAAGAAGCCAGAGGCTGCGGGAGCTTCTGGTCCCGGCGAGGCTGCCTGGGGGGCCCAGATCTGGGCCCCTCCGGCACCTGGACACCCCATGGAGGGAAGGTCAGGGCTCTGGGGTCCTGAGGACAAGCCAAGGCCCACTCTCTGTTCCAACCTTGCAGGGCTACCTGGGGCTCAGTGGAAAAGCACACACTCACCCCAAGGTGGGACGCCTGCAGAAATACCCCCATGGAAACGGGGTCTGGAAGCAAATCCCCCCCCCCAATGGGGAGTGTATCCTGCAGGGACACCCCCCAGCCACAGGCCTGGGGTCAGTTTCAATAGCAAGAATTACCATACAGAAGGGACTGGGCAGGGGACTGGGCAGGAGATGGGGCAGGGGATGGGACAGGGCAGGGGACGCAGGGGATGATGTAGGGGACAGGGCAGGGGCGTCCAGGGTTCCTGTGCAGTGGGGAAGGAGTGAAGGTGTCCCGAGCTTCGAGGGGCCTGTCTGGTTCCATTCTGTGTCCTGCGGACAGTGCCAGGAGTGGGCTCTGCACGAGGACCAGCCCTATCTCTGCTCTGAGCAGGACGCCGCCACCAGGGCTGATGGCAGCTGCTCACAGGGACCAGGCGACAGCACAGCACCATGGCATCCCATACGGCCCTGAGCCCGCCAGGAGGGTTCCTGAATGTGGGCCCTGAGCACCAATGGGGTCTGACCCCAAACCAAACCAAACCAGCGCCTACATCTCACAGTGTCATTAAAATCTACCCAAGGGCGTCGCTGGAATCCTCACTGCTCGGCGTGATAAAAGTAAGCATTTCCAGGGGTGACGTTTAGTGATGCCTAAGAGACCCCAGGGCCGCGCTTGGTGTTTGGGCCACACTGGCGGTGCTCAGGGATAAGTCCTGGCTCTGTGCTCAGGGGCCCCCTGGGCTGCCCAGGAAGCGCCGACCTGCGATTTGGTCTCTCTGGCCCCTAAGCCCTTTGCAAAGAGAGATGAGGGTCGTGAGAGGTGCCAGGGGCCTGGGGTGGGGGCAGTGGGTCATTCCCGGGGATTCTGGGCCAACGGCTCAGGCAACTCAACGTGGGACCAGCTGGTGGTGCTGGGACCACCAGGGCCGCTCCGGGGGTCACACCTCACGGCGCCCTGGCTGGCATGAGGTGCAGGGGCTCAAGCCTGGGTCCCCGCCCCACTGGTCGCGGCGTGACGCCCTGACACACAGCCCTTCCCACTGGCACTCTCCCCGATGCCTGGGCTAGCCCTGTGCCCTGCGCTCTCTGGCCCGCCGGGTCCCAGCGAGGAAAGGACTCAGCTGCCGGAGGGGGCCATAGCCGCCCTAGGCGCCTCAGTTTCCTCGTCTGCAAGACAGGCTCCAGGCAGCAGGGCTGACCTGTGGTTGGCATGGACCACCAACCCCCACCATGCTTGGGGCTGACGTCATCACACTGTTTTCGTCTCCAAGCTGTCGGGGACAGACCCTGGGCTCAGGGCCGCACACAGGCCGCCCTGCACGTCCCTCTCGGCCCCTCCTGGCAGGACGCTGGCCGGCTGCACTCGGGCCCTCGCTGATGATGGATGTGTCTCTCCCGGCTGGACGGGAGGAGGCCGGGCCAACCGGGGCTCCTGGGCGGTGCCCGGCCAACTGGGCCATTTAATCGAGATGTTTGTTTAACCAGGAAATGAACTCCAGGCTGGAGGCAGTGCCCGGGGCCAGACTTCTGGGAACGGCCCCGCCCAGGGGCGTGGGGGCTAGAGGCCCGGATGCTGAGACTCTGGGTGTCCTAGGCTGAGCCCTGCTCCTTGGGCCACCATGGGCCCCCTACCTCCCAGCTCCCAACGAACTCAGGCTCGGCTTGGAGCTATGGGGGCACCAGGGCAGGGGAGGGGGCCAGGAGGTAGGAGCCCTTGGATACACTGTCCGCCGAAGAAAGAGCTGGGCACCTTGGGCCCGAGTCTGCCTCAGTTTCTCCAAAGGGGAAACTGAAAGGAGTACTTCCTGCTAGAACAGCAGTTCCCCAGAAGGGGTCCTGGAATCCCCAGGATTTTGGCCCCCGCCCCCCCTTTCCAGTCACGTTCCCAGGCAAGCCTGGATCTCGCTGGGCTCAACCCTGACGAGCACTGAAGAGGGAGCACACACCATGTTGGCAGAAACGCAGGCCTGACAGTTATGCTGATAGCAGTTGAGAACAGCCCTGTGGAAAACGCCGCCTGTGCACTGGGCAACGGTTTCTCTACAGTTTTGGAATTTTATTTGCTTTGGGGACCACCACCCCAGCGGTGCTCAGGGCTCACTCCTGGCTCTCAGCTCAGGGTCACTCCTGGAGGTGCTCAGGGGGATCCTATGGAATGTCGGGGATCGAACCGAGTCAGCTAGGTGCAAGGTTAACACTTTCTCTGCCGTGCTAGTGCTCCAGCTCACTGTTGTTTTTCTTTTCTTTCTTTCTTTTTTATTTTTTTTTGGCTTTTTGGGTCACACTTGGCGATGCACAGGGGTTATTCCTGGCTCTGCACTCAGGAGTTACTCCTGGCGGTGCTCAGGGGACCATATGGGATGCTGGGAATCGAACCCGGGTCAGCCGCGTGCAAGGCAAACGCCCTACCCGCTGTGCTATCTCTCCAGTCCCCCTCACTGTTGTTTTTCTAATGGAAGACAAACATTTACATCACCCCCCCACAGCCCACCCGCAGTGACTTTCTAAGGTGATAAGAACTCAGAGGAACAAAAACCGCTTTGGGGTCCCCCAGCCGTCTTTAAGCGGGGAGATTCCCACTTGGGCTGAGACCCCCCCACCCCCCCGCAAGCCTGCCTGGGGGTCACATGTCTGAGGCCTTTGTGACGTGGTCCAGCTCTTCACCCTCAGCAGAGAACCAGCAAACAGAGGCCTCGAGTCAGGAGCCCCGTCCCCTCCTCCCCTGCAAGCTGACCCGCAGGCCCCAGGGCCGGGCAAGGCTGAGGCCACTCAGCCCTGCCAGGTCACACCCGGCACATGAGTGAGAAGCCTGCAGCCCAGTGCCTGCTGTTCCCCGGCAGCCTGCAGTCCGCCCCCTCGCCAAGGCCCAGTCCTGTCATGGAGGTGCCTGGACCAGTCCCGGCTGCCCCTGGACGCACCACCCTCCCCTCCCCTCCCCTCCCCTCCCGGGCACCTCCACCACCTCCGTCCGCCCTGCTGCCCCGGTTCCGGCCACACTCAGCCGCTCCCTGGACCAGCGGCCCCCGCACTCAGGGCCTGGGGATGACCCTCGGCTGGCCCCAGGCCCTGCCCCTCTGCCCAACACCTCTCCTGCCCCCCAAACTCTCCCTCACTCCCGCAGTTCTCGAGTTCCCCCACCCTGTGCCTTCTCCTGCTCCCGGGTGGACCCCTGCCTGGACCGTCACAGTGTTTTCAGGTCACCTTCCTCGCAGGAGGCTCGGGAGGGCACAGCAGCAAGGCAGGTGGTCTCCGAGCCACATGGCACCCGCCAGAGCCACCTCAGAGCATACACCACCTCGGGGCTGTGGGAGGCCCCAGGAACATGGGTGAGCAGCGTCGGGACGGGCCCGGCCAGGGACAGCAGGGAGCTCGGGCCGACAGGCAGGCGGCATTGACACCGGTGGACAAAATCCTCCTCCCCGGTCATCGGGGTGGTTTCCTGCAAAGGCTGCTGGGAAACTCGGAGAGCGGCCGTCATGGGCAGCTGGTCCCTCCTCTGTGCCCTGCAGGACTGGCCTGGACTTACTGGCCAGGACAGGTGGGATAAAGGGGGATGCCCGGCCTGGCACACTGGCCGTGATGGGCTGACACCCTGTCAGCCTCAGTTTCCTGAGAAGTTTGCTGCCAGGCTGTGGAGGTGGGGGGATTGTTTGGGGTCACACCTGACAGTGCTCAGGACTTTCTCCTGGCTCAACATGGTGGGGCTGGGGGGACCCTATGGGGTGCCAGGGAGCGAGCCTGGGTCCATCGTGCCGTCGTGCACAAGGCCAGCCCATGCTGTGACACACCTCGGGGTCATCACACTAGCTGCCACCCAGCAGCTGGGCACACGCACGAGTTCTGCTCTCCTGGCCTGCGTGCAGGAAGCTGGGTGGGGGGAGGAAGGTGGGTCTCTGTTAGCTCAGGTGAAGGAGGACTGAGCCTCCCAAGCCCACACCCCTGTCTGCGCTGCAGAATGGATTAGTGAGGGGCTGCCTGGAGCTACTGAGACGAGAACCCACGAAACCAGTGCAAGCAGGTGTGTGTGTGGGGGGGGGGGAAGAGCACGGCCCGAGGCAAGGATTGGGAGGAAACAGACCGGAAGGCCACAGACAAGGCCACCAGGGCTACACCGGGAGCCTGCCAGCTCTGTGCAAAGGCCGGCAGGGGCTCTGGGTCAGGACGGCAGCTGTGAACAGGCCCGGGGTGACTGCAAAACCAGGCAGCAGGGTCCTGGCTCTAGAGGTTGCAGGTTCAAAGGCCCTGGGGTGCCTTTAAGAGCAAGAAGAGGTGTGCATCAAGTGTGCAGCTTTGCAGGACACTGTCTTCGAAAGAAATCCCTTTTCATCTATAATTAGCAACAGAACACGAAATGCCTGGAATTCCGGAGTTTCCATCAGGGGCAACAGCCAGACAGGCAAGCAGCAGAGGAGAAGCAGCTGCAAGTGTTAAGTGTGGAGGCGCGCAGGTGTGGGAGCGTGGGGTGTGCAGATGTGCAAGTGTGTGGGTGTGGGGGGTGCAGGTGTCGGGGGTGGGGTGTGCAGGTGGATAGATGTGCGGGTGTGCAAGTGTGTGGGTGTGCGGTCTGCAGGTGTGGGGTGTACAGGTGTGCGGGTGTGGAGGTATAGGGTGCGCATGTGTGGGGTGCAGAGATTTGCAGGTGTGCGGGTGTGTGGGTGTGGGGTGTGCAGGTGTGCAGATGTGAGGTGTGCAGGTGTGGGGTGTGCAGGTGTGTAGGTGTGTGGTGTGCGGTGTGCGCGTATGGGGCGTGCGGTATGCAGGTGTGCAAGTGTACACGTGTGTGTGGTGTGGGTGTGCAGGTGTGCAGATGTGATGTGTGCAGGTGTGCGGGTGTGGGGTGCGCAGGTATGTAGGTGTGTGATGTGGGGTGTGCGAGTGTGGGGTGTGCGGTTTGGGGTGTGCAAGCGTTCAGGTGTGGGGTGTGCCGGTGTGGGGTATGCAGATGTGCAGGTATGGGTGTGCAGGCTGCAGGTGTGGGTGTGCAGATGGCAGGTGAGGGGTGTACAGGTGTGCAGGGGTGGAGTGTGCAGGTATGAGGTGTGGGGTGTGCAGGTGTGCAGATGTGAGGTGTTCAGATGTGGCGTGCACAGGTGTGTAGATGTGGGGTGTGCAGTGTGGGGTGTGCAGGTATACAGGTGTGCAGGTGTGGGGTGTGCAGGTGTGTGGATGTGAGGTGTGCAGGTGTGCAGGCGTACAGGTGTGCAGGTATGGGTGTGCAGGGTGCACGTGAGGGGTGTACAGGTGTGCAGGTGTGGAGTGTGCAGGTGTGAGGTGTGGGGTGTGCAGGTGTGCTGCTGGCGGGGGAGGGCCCCCGACACCAGCCTCTGCAGGCGACAGGCAGACGTGAAACCCGAAGAGGCTCCAGCAGCTGCACTCTGGGCCCCCCCGGGAGATGAAGGCAGGTTTGGAGGTGCCCACAGCTGCTGTTTCTGCCCAGGGGTGACCATGGTGGACAGTGGACAGGACTGGCCTGAGAAGGAAGGACGCTCCTGGGGCCAGGGCAAGTTCGGCAAGCTGAGCGAGGCTCTGCATGCGGGACTCCCGGGTCCCATTTCTGAGCACTGACTTGGGAGCAGGCCCCGAGCACTGCCAGGTGGGAGTCAGCATCGAAGGGAGACGAGGCTTCCCTCTGGGGACATGGAGACGTCCTGGACGTGCGGGTGGCTGTGACAGCCATGGGGCCAGCACCTGGGAGCGTTCCTGATGCCGTCCCATGCCATGTGTCAGGCTCACACACATCAGCCCAAGTGGGAGCAAGGAACTGAGGCCTTGGCCTGTGTGGCTCCATGGGTGGGTCTCCCTCACGGCCAGGGGCCCCTGGTCCCCCAGGTGGGACACCTCTGTACCCGAGTTCACACGCGTTTCTGTTCCCCAAGATGTGCCATGGGGAGAAACTGAGGATAGGAAGATCAGAGGTGTAGCCGGGAGGGAGCATGGGGGCAGGGGGGAGCAGGAGCAGATTCAGACGGGTGGAGGGGCGACTGGAGACCAGCGGGGTCAGGGGGTGGCCTGAGGGTCACACAGGGGTCCGAGCAGGCAAGCCTTGTGCTGCGCCCCCATTCAGGACCACCAGTCCGCATTCCCTGCACCCACATGTTGGTGCTGTCCAGAGAGGGAAACTGAGGCCCCAGGAGATGACAGTCATGGTGGTCCTGGGCTAGCAGAAAACTGGGTCCACGGAGCTGGGACTCAACACGGGGCTGCGTGCTCTGTTGCTCCCGCGTCCCCTGACCTCAGGGCACCCCTGAAAAGCCTCTTTCCTCGCCCCGGGCTCCAGGGGCTGGAGGCAACGCTCCCTTCCTGCTGGATCAGAGCAAGGAGCCAAGAGGGGCCGGCACAGCAGCGACATCCTCACCTGGCCAGGAGTCCCCGACCCCTCTGGTCTGTGCTGTGTGACCGTGGGCAAGTCACACAGCCTCTCTGAACCTCTGCTGTGGGGGAGGGGCCCCTTCATGCCTACGGGTCCTGCCCCAAGTGCCTACAAGCACCAAGCACCCCTCAGGAGACCAGCGGGGGCACTTCTGACCATGTCTCCCCTCCAGGCCCATCCCCCACCCGCTGCAGCAAACTGGAGTGTCCCCTCCTGAACCCCAGCACACTGGGATGCCTTCTGGGTGACCAGGGCAAGTTCTTCTCTCTATCTCTTCATGTCAGTGTCCTCGAGCTCATGCAAAGCCCAACCCGCTGGCCTTCACTGTTCCCACTACACAGAGAGAGAAACTGAGGCCCGTGGGCTCGAGCTTGCAGACCCAGCTCCGTCCTCATCCCAACAGGCACCTCCCTCCAGGCCACTCCATCCATGTGGGCTCTGGGAAGCTCCCCAGCTTCTCAGACCCAGAGGACCAGATCAGCCCCAGCGGCCCTGGTGCTGGGTTCCTGGCACACGTCTGCCCGCTGAGTCCGGCAGAGCCAGCGATGGGCCTACCTTATGGGCGAGGTTGGGGTCCCTCAGAGCGCCGTCCTCCTCCTCCGAGCTCCCCTGCTCTTCATCCGAGGTGAGGTCTTCCCTGGGGGCTGCCGTGGGCACCGGGCACACCTTGTAGGGCTCCGTGTAGGCGCTGGAGACAGAGTGGACAGGCGTCAGCAGCAAAGAAGCATAAGGGGCCCAGGGATACCAGCCGGCGGGCTGTGGGCAGAACTGGGGCCTTTCCCTGCACGACCCTGCCTGCTGTCCCCCTCCCAGCCATGCTGGCATGCTGGTCTTCTTTTTTTCTTTTCTTTTTTTTTTTGGCTTTTTGGGTCACATCCGGCGATGCACAGGGGTTCCTCCTGGCTCTGCACTCAGGAATTACCCCTGGCGGTGCTCAGGGGACCGTGTGGGATGCTGGGAATCGAACCTGGGTCGGCCACGTGCAAGGCAAACGCCCTCCCTGCTGTACTATCACTCCAGTCCCTGGCCTCCTTTCATCTGTTGTGTCGGTTTTCCGGGGATGGAGCCCAGGCGTCTGACATGCCAGGCGAGCACTAGCCACGGATCCACAGCCCTGGCCCCTCCGTCAGACTATGCAAATGTGCCCAAGTCTCGTGTGACCTCGTGTCTGCGCCAACTCACAGCACGAGGCATCCCCGGCACACGGCAGCCGGGCTGCGGACACCACAAAGCGTTTCCCCTGAGCACCATGGATGCAGGCAGGGCTACCCAGTCTGGGGGTCGGGGCCAACCTGGTCACAGCGGGGTCAGCCCTCAAGGTGGCTCTGGGCTGAGAAAGGGGGCGGCAGAGTGTGTGGTGCACGGTTGTGCCCCGGGGTGGGATGAGACTCCAATGGGGGCATTGGTGCCCACGAGGCCGCTCGGGCAGGGTTGCAACCGCCCCTTCTTGCCGACTCAGTGAGGACTGAGGCTTCCTCTGCAGAAGGGGCGGCGAGAGGTGCCTCCGCCACTGAGCTCCCACAGTTGAAGGCTGCTCCCGCCTGGAAAGGCCCGCGCAGCGGGGAAGAAAGAGCAAGAAGGCCGGGGGTCTGGTGGCGCCAGCGGGTCAATCTGCACCTGGGAGGCGCCTGCATCAGCAGCCTGATGGCGCCTTCAGACTTCCAGATTCCCCAAAACTGCTGCTGTGCCTTTGGCCAGACCCAAAAACCTTGGGGCAAAGTTTACCAAGAAAGTAAACGGCCAAAAGTTAGGTATGTGGGAAACACACCCACAAACCACCTCCGGCTCAGCTATATAATTGGAGGCAAGGCCTCTTTGGTTCCTGATTGAACTGCTTAATGGACATGATCCCAGAGACTCAGAAACGAATCTCGGAACCCAGTGGCTTTAGGTAGAAATGCGTCTGGTCCCTGCAGTAGGTTACCGGTGCTGGGTCAACCCAGGTGGGAATAGGTTTCGTGCCTTGGCCTGTTCCCCCGGCGGCCCAGTGGCCACCATCCTTCAGAGGCCACTGGATAGTCACATTTGGGCCCCCAGTGACGAGACACACAGGGCCTCACGGGATGAGGGTGGAGCCGGGCTTGTCCTCCCCACCCCAACGAGACCCCAAGTCATCGCCCACGAACGGCCTCTCTGGCTCCTGATCAAGCTGCTTAATGGCCATGATCCCAGAGACTCAGAAACAAATCTCGAAACCCAATGGCTTTTGACAGAAATGCATCAGAACTGTGCAGTAGGTTACTATTGTCGGGCCACCCCAGAGGGGAAAGGGTGCTGTCCCTCTGCCTACTCCCACTTGGCGGTTCGGTGGCTGCCATCCTCCAGAGGCCGCTTGACAATCAGGTTTGGGCACGCAGTGACAAGACACAATGAGACTCACGGGATGGGGGTGGAGCCGGCCCTTTCCTTCCCACCCCAGCGAGACCCTGAGTCGCCGCCCATGAATGGCCTCTGTGGCTCCTGATCAAGCTGCTTAACGGCCATAATTCCAGAGACTCAGAAACAAATCTCGGAATCCAGCAGGTTTTGGCAGAAATCCCTCCAGATATAACTGTTAAAATTTCAGAATTCCAAAATCATGTTATTTATAACCAGCAACAGAAAACAAATTGTCTACTGTTGCCTTTTCAGCAGGTCTGAGTGTTGCAGTAAAATTCCAAATAATAATGGTGGGTCTTGTGTCAAAATATTGACTGTAATCAAAGTAGAGAGAGAGTAATGTGGAAATCATCTGCCCCACAGGTAGGGGGAGGGTGTGGGATGGGGGTATACTGGGGTTTTTTGGTGGTGGAAAATGGGCACTGGTGAAGGGACGGGTGTTTTATTGTATGACCGAGACTTTAACCCAAAAGCTTTGTAACTGCTCTCATGGTGATTCAATAAATAAAATGATAAAAAATGAAAAAAAAGTACGATGGAATTCATGCCCAATTCAATCAGCCTAATCAGTGGCTGAATAAAATAGCAGTACTGAATAAATAGCAGTGGATGAATGAGTCGGTGGGTAGATGTGTGGATAGATGGGTGGATGGATGGGTGAATGGGTGGATGGATGGGTGAATGGATGGGTGGATGGATTTCTGGATGGGTGGGTGGATGAGTGGATGGATGGGTGGATGGATGGATGGATGGATGGGTGGGTGGATGGATGGTAGATGGATGGATGGGTGGATGAATGAGTGGGTGGATGGATTTGTGGATGTGTGGGTGGATGAGTGGATGGATGGGTGGATGGATGGATGGATGGATGGATGGATGGGTGGATGGATGGGTGGATGGATGGATGGATGGATGGTGGATGGATGGATGGGTGGATGGATGGTGGATGGATGGATGGGTGGATGGATGGTGGATGGATGGATGGGTGGATGGATGGGTGGATGGATTGGTGGGTGGATGAGTGAATGGATGGGTGAGTAGATGGATGAGTGGGTGGATGGATGAATGGACGGACGGACGGATGGATGGGTAGGGTGGATGGGGAGTGTAGAAGGTGAATGGATGGGTGGATGAATGAGTGGGTAGATGGATGGGTGGGTGGATGAGTGGATGGATGGGTAGGTGGGTTGATGCATGGATGGATGGATGGATAGATGGATGGATGGGTGGATGGGGGTGGATGAGTGGATGGATTGGTGGGTAGGTGGGTGGATGAGTGGGTGGATGGGTAGATGGATGGGTAGGTGGATGGATGGATGGATGGGTGGATGGATGGTAGATGGATGGATGGGTGGATGAATGAGTGGGTGGATGGATTTGTGGATGTGTGGGTGGATGAGTGGATGGATGGGTGGATGGATGGATGGATGGATGGATGGGTGGATGAATGGGTGGATGGATGGGTGGATGGATGGTGGATGGATGGATGGGTGGATGGATGGTGGACGGATGGATTGGTGGGTGGATGAGTGAATGGATGGGTGAGTAGATGGATGAGTGGGTGGATGGAAGAATGGACGGACGGACGGATGGATGGGTAGGGTGGATGGGGAGTGTAGAAGGTGAATGGATGGGTGGATGAATGAGTGGGTAGATGGATGGGTGGGTGGATGAGTGGATGGATGGGTAGGTGGGTCAATGGATGGATGGATGGATGGATGGATGGATGGATGGATAGATGGATGGATGGATGGGTGGATGGGGGGGTGGATGAGTCGGATGGATTGGTGGGTGGGTGGGTGGATGAGTGGATGGATGGATAGATGGATGGGTGGGTGGGTGGATGGATGGATGGATGGATGGGTGGGTAGGTGGGTGGGTGGATGGATGGATGGATGAACAGACAGAGTGGATGGATGGATGGATGGACGGACGAATGTATGGATGAATTTGTGGGTGGATGGATGGGTGGATGAGTGGGTGGACAAGTGTTTGGATGAGTGGGTGGAACAGGGGAAGGATGAATGGAAAGGAAGATTGATGAGTGGGTAAATGAGTGTAGAGAGAAGCAAGCAGATAGACAAGGGGTCAAAGGACGTACTCATATACGAAAATATACTGGTTATGTTAAAAAATCTTCTGGGACTGGAGAGACTTGGGTCTCTGGAGAGACAGGGGTCACGGAACCTGACATGTCATCTCTGATTTGATCCCCCATATCACATCGCCCTCCTATGAGAACTGAGGGCAGCCCCCAACATAAGCCAAGAGTAGGCCCCGCGTACCATGGGAAGAGGAAGAGGAGGAGGAGGAGGAGGAGAGGAGGAGAAGGGGGGGAGGAGGGGAAAAAGGGGGAGGAGGAGGAGGAGGAGAAGGGGGAGGAGGAGGAGGAGGAGAAGGGGGAGGAGGAGGAGGAGGGGGAAGGAATGGGGAAGAGAAGGGGGAAGAGTGGGAAGAGAAGGAGAAAGGGGAGGAGGAGGAGGAGGAGGAGAGGGAGGAAAGAGGCCACATGCTGGCGGCTACACCTCTGGCAGGGCAGATCACAGAATGTGCTGGAGAAGCTGCAGGATAAAGACGGGCCTTGGATGTCCCCACACGGGGCTTGAGGGGTTTTCTGAGTGACAGCTCTGAGGCTCCTGTTCCAGGGGCTCTGACACAGGTTTCCACAGACGGGCTGCGAGCAGTGCTCCCCTCCGCTTGTCCAAGGGCAGATGCTGTCCTCCCCAAGGTGGGCAGGTGGGGGCATTCAGGAACCACTGCTCTGGGATCTGCCCCCAGCTCAACCCGCCAGCAGCCCCCCGGGGCCCCGAGGCAGCGCTGCTAGCTGCCACCACGCACTCTCCCAGATCACCGGTTCCTTCCTTCATTCATTCATTCAACTGCACACTTGGCTTGAGGTTGGGGCAGGGCAGGGCTAGCCCTGCATGGGCTCCTCTGGGCTGCGAACCGGCTTCCAGGCTGACCCACCCCCACTCTGTATCGAAGTCTGGGGGCTGTCCAACATGGGGGGAGCACCCCCACTTACCTGCACCCCATGCAGATCTTCCCAGACAGGGCTGGGCAGCTAGGGCCAAGTCCCAACCGCACTGGGATATCCTGAAGATTTGTTGTTGTTTTGTTGTTTGGTTTGGTATTTTTTTTTTAACTTTTTTTGGGGAGGTCACACTCGGCAATTCTCAGGGGTTACTCCTGGCTCTGCACTCAGAAATTACTCCTGGTGGTTCTCAGGGGACCATATGGGATGCTGGGAATCGAATTTGGGTCGGCCACATGCAAGGCAAACGCCCTACCCATTGTGCTATTGCTCCA